ATAAACTTGCTTATCGCAAAGATTATAAAGCAATGATTGGTGGTTACTATGCAAGTAGCACATACTCTTCTGACTAGTTTTTAAAGAAGGTAATAAAAAGTTTTTTTTTAAACCATTGTAGTTTTTTTTCTGCGTAATGTGATAAAAGATACGACGCAAGATATAATTTAGCAAATTCAGCAGTTAAAAAATTATAGGCAAAACGGACTAATAATTGTAGAAGCTGACTACAAAAAATAAAAATATATCAAAAAAATATATCAAAAAATCAAAAGCTTGTGGTTGCCCAAAATGTCGCTAAAAAGCTCCAAAAACTAAATTTACTTTCTTCTAACCAAATTTTCAGGAATTAAGTTAGTCACAAAGCTGTTTTAAGCATGCTTGTTTGCTTTAATCGCCCAAAGTTGATATAGAAATCAAAAGTCTTAAACCCGTTTTTCTCAAAACTTGAAAATTTTTTAGAAGTTTTCCAGTTTCGTTCGCAGCACAACTGAAAGGGCTTCACGACGATTGTTTAGGACAGTGATTTTTTTTTTCAAATTAGTGTCGTTTTCTTTCGGCGTGGTGTGATAAAAGGACGTGAACAGAAAACTAGAGACGAGGCATATTCGACAGTCACAATGAAATAAGTAAAATGATAACTAATTTTCGAAGAAAATTGCTAGAAAAAAAATCAAAAAACATTTTTTCGACTGTTTTTGAATTTTTGAAGTTTTTGAGACAAAAAAGGCCTAAAAGTACTCAAAAAACTATTGTTACTCAATTAAACTAAGTTTTAACGTTTTAAGTTAAGCTATTGTAAGCTTTTTAGCCAACCTAATAAGTTATTGTAAGCCTGCTCGCTAGCTTTATTCGCTCGATCTAAAGCAAAAAAAAATTCAAACCAAACGAATCATGACTGTAAAGGCTTCCACATGATACATCACTCAATCTCTCTGATCATTTTTTGTGGAAGCTGATTTTGCTTTGAAAACAAACTAAAAAACTAAAAGAAAAAACTAACTACAACACACACGAATACAAAGTTTCTCCCCATTTTCTTTTCAAATGGTTGAAACAAAAAGAAGAAAAAAACTAAAGCACACCTGAAGAACAAGGATAGCCGGAAGAACAAGGATAGCCGGTTACTGTGCAAGTAGCACAGATTGTTCCGACCATTGTCGTTGAAAAACAACAGAAAAAAATTTTTTCATTTTTTCTGCGTAGTGGGATAAAAAAATCTGAATTAAGACTCATTTAGACATATTCGACAGTTATACTATTATAGGCAAATTGTTCAAAAAATTTTCTAGAAAAGTGACTAGAAAAACAAAAAAGAAACAAAAAAAACTTTGAAAAATTCATATTTTTTTGTTCAGTTTCTTTTGCAGAAAAATTTAGAATTTTTTCGAAAATGTCACAATTTTTTAAACAATCAATTTTTTTGAATCTGAGAAAACTATTGGAAAAATTTTGATTTTGATCATATCACAACTAAATGGCTTCAGTTTGATGTGTCACTCGACCCATTCCTATGATTATTTGTGGTACCTGGTTTTTTGTGGAAAAAAAAGAAGAAAACTGAAACACACCCGAAAGCAAAGTTCCTCCGCACTTTCAATGTTGGGAACAATAACCTAAATGTAGGATTTTGCTTTCTAGGTTGAAGTGCTAAACGCCTGATTCAACCCACCATAGTCAAACAATGTCCTTTTTGTCTTAACTTGAGATGGTTGTACCATCACAACTGGAGTGCGTGGATAATGTACGATTATAATCCTTTTCCTTGTCAATCTGAAAAATTTTTAAACATAGTCGTTATAATCGATTGAAACTGGATTATATTCCTTTTATTGATTTTTTCTCGATATGAATTGACGAAAAGCTTTTTTTTTGTTACAAAAAAAAAGATTATAATCGATTGTGTTTTTTGCAGAAAAATTGTTTTCTCAGCTTGATGCACTTTTTTCTGCAAAACTGTGGCGAATCAAAGATGGATTTTGAACTAATTACTGAACAACATGAAATATAAAATCATCAAAGGTTTTTTCTTGATGCTTTTTTCTGGTGGTGAAAAGGTGAAATTTACGTTGAGTAGCCACCCGGTTCCATAGTAAAAAATTGAGGGGCTTAAAGAGTTGGAGATCACATTGAGTAGCCCCCGTTTAATGGTAAAAACTTGAGGCTTAGGGGGTAAACTGGGGGGAGGTTAAGCAGAAGTGCAAAAGCCACTAAAAACATGATTTTGTGATAGGATTTCGTTTTTTTTTATAATTCATGCTGTTCAAATTTTAGTTCAAAAATCATCTTTGTTTTGAAGAAAAAAGGCAAAAAAACAGGTAAACACTAGTTTTGCAGAAAACAACCGATTATAACGTAATTTTGTGGAGAAAAAATCATTTTTCATGGATTTATGTTCTGAAAAAAATCGATAAAAATGGAACAAAATGGATTATAATGAATTATTTTATGTTTTAAAAATCTATTTTAATCCATTGAAAAAGGACCTAAGTTTAACAATTGGCATTTATAATCGATTGTTTTGTCCAAAATGTTTGTCATTAAAAATCCATTGTAATTGATGAAACTCCATTGCGGGAAGAGGCCTTCGGACGAGCAAATTCGAATTGTGGCCAAATCATTCGCATAAAATAATTTTTTATTTTACAAAGTATGTTTTATGCGAAAGATTGTCTTCATATATTAAGAATGCATAACTTGCAAAAATTCTCCTTCCCATTCGAAGCGCATATCTTTGACACAGAAGCGAAGCTGCGCTTCGCAAACTCTAGAGAGACCACGACAAAAAGCAGCTTTATTAAGTGCAATAAGATAAAGTTTAAATAAGCCTCGAATTAGTTCAAAATCGGCGTAGCGTCGAATTCCAGGTGCAACCTGACGATTTTGAATCTCACGCACTAATCACTCGGCCACGGACGCTTATTAGGTTACAAATATCAGCCAAAAATAAAGCAGAGAAACAATGCTATGCGATTTCCAATGCTGCCCTGAAACTTCCAAGTATAGAAAAAATATAAATTGGGAGTAAGAGTAGAAAGAAAGAAGGTTCTTACTAATGAACAACGCTGTCAAGCTAGTTAGTGTAAATATTCGTGCAAATTAATAATTCCAGCTAAAGTTTTTTCATGCCTTTCCAAACAATTGATTTATCTGCTAAATGATCAGTTTTTGTTTCTTCCTTTATGATTTTCGAAGTACACAATTTTAGCAAGATTTTTGCAAAATTCTTGCATGATTTGCAATTCCTTAACAACGTAGATTTTTTACAAAAGGTGTAAAATTTTCCATTTGCAACTTTCGATTTGTTAAATAAATAGTTTATTATACTAAATTTTTTCAGTGGTGAAGCACTTTTCATTACATATACAAACAATTTTTTTAACAAACATAATTCTAATATATTTCTTTTGAAAATTTTTCAAAATTGATGAACAAAATTTTTACAGTAGTTTATTCTATCCACAAGCATCCTACTATTGCTTCATGTATTCTTTGACTTCAGGTCAATTTTGCATGTTTTTCTTTCAACGCAGAGAAAACGTATTTTTCAATCTTCGGTGTGAGATTTTGCTAGGTGTCTGGTAGAGGCTACAAAAAAGAACTTAACATAACAAAAACAAAAAGAAAGTGTTTTTTAAACGGAACGCATGCAAAAATCTTGCAAGATGAATGCCAATGTTGCCAGAAAAAAGCAGTGATTGTTTTTTCTAGTAAAGTTTTTGAAAAGAAATCATGCAAGTTTGCATTATGAAACAACTGAAGGCTTGTAAGGAAAGTTGGATGTCGTTGAAAATATCTTATTTTTGTTATCTGTGAAAAATATCGAGAAAAACAGCAGATTTTTGTTTTTAGAGCTGCATTGACCCTATTAATCCACTTTACTATCTATTGTAACTTTTCCATGAGCTTTTAGAAATTTAGGAGCTACATATTCAAATCAAACTTACAATTAAACCTACAAAACGATAGAAAACAGCAGATATTTAACGATCCGAAAAAACCTAGCTATTTTTGCTAAAACGAGTTATTGTTCTGACTTTGGCTTGATAGGAGCAGTCTTGCTTAAACAATATGGAGAGCCCGTTGAGTAATCAGAAGAATTCTCAATTGCAGTTGAGAAATCACCAAGCAAAATCTCAATTGAATCGCAAAGCTTTCAAATTAAGCAAATATATTCAGGTTCATAGAATAAAAATTGATCGATAATAGATATATAAAAAAATCAAATGTTTGAACTTTCAGGTCCTATGCACTAAACAGCCCAAAACCAATTTTTCTACATCTTAAGCTGGAAATTATGTGATCAAATTTGATTGGGTAATTTTAGCCAATCAAATTCAAGTTACACGGTCAGGCATTCCGATAAACCTTTCTAGCAGATAATAATATTAACGAAAATTGCCGAAAAATTGGAACTTTGAGTCAAAGTATCATATTAATTTTGAGTCACTTGTGAAACTTGCCCAGACAAGCAAAATTCAGTAAAATGGCTTGACAAAACCAAATTCAATTTTCTTTATCATTTCGGCTAATAACTTTATCTGCTTGAAATTTCAATTGAAATGGCAGAAAATGTCGATGGAACTTGATTGGCTAATTATCCAATCAAATTCATCCACAATAATTTCAGTTCAAGAGATGTAGAAATAACGAATTTGGGCCGTTTAGTGCATAAGACCCGAATTTTCAAATATGGTCAGGTCTAAGACGCGTAAAAGAAAATTTAGGATACGGATTTCAACAAACTGACAAACAAATCAAACAATTTCTTGAATAATTGCATGAGCTGTACGGCAAAACTTGGCTGTACTGCTGAAATTCATTCTTGCTAATTTTGACTTCGAATTTGTGCAAAAAATAGGAACCTTTAACGATTCTGGTGAGTTGAAAATTTCCCAACCATCGGGCCCTCCATGCGAATAGCCCTCCTTATTATTTTTGCAGCATCGAGCATGTTTATTTTACAGAGAAGTTGCTCACTTAAACTAAAAACTGGGGAGAATATTAAAAATTAAATTCAGATAAAGGTATTTGTGTAAGACTTTTTCAGAAAAGATATGTACATATGTAAGTTGCTGTTTGCTTTCTGACACGTTTCTAGCTTCTCCTTCATCATGGTTAGTCGTGAATTGTACAATTGGACATTCTGAAACACAAACAGAAAGACATAATCAAAATATGAAAATCAAGAAACACTGACTACCAAAAAAATTTGGTTCATTTTGAAGTGGTTTAACGAAAATAATAGTTTGCAATAATGTGACAAAAACCAGCATTTAAGGCATCATATCACTCTCGATTTTTGGTAATTTTTTCAATTACAAAATCCCGATCTTTCAAATCAAATCATACTTGTAATACAATTATCATGGAGGAAGAACAAAAAAAGTTCATTGGATGACTTTAACTAAATATAACTGGAACATGGAAAAACACCAGTAAAAAGTCAAAAATAAAAAATACTCAGCGCTTAAACATTTTAAAAGTTTCGATCAAAACAAAAGCGAGAAGCTTTTTCATGCTAACTAGGAGCGTTTTGGACGCTAATTTTTACTGAAACAAAAAGCACAAACAGCAAGAAAATTATTTTTAAGACAGACAAAAGTATAAGATGCTTAAGATTTGAATAGCCTCTCTACTAATTTCCCGAGAGTTTTCAAAATATAAAGAAAATGTATATTATGCATACCATCAAAACTTAAAAACGAAAATAGAAAGTAGCATAAAAAAACTCCTACCACGATAATAATTTTAAAATAATTTTTTTTTTCAAATTGTGATCTGTTTTGGGTGACATATCCCTTGAGCAAGAATAAAGAATTCTTTAGGCAAGGCAGAATTCTTTTTAAGCAATGCTAATAAGCACAAACACATGAACAGAGCTCGGTGATTATCGTTTATGTGTTTAACCCTAAATTTTTCTCAGCGCATCTTGTAGTCTTGTTGATCTAGTTGTGAAATCATATGAAGGAAAGACCACAGGTCGGGCTTTGAATCCCGGTTGGAACCAGCTTTTTTAAGCTAAAATTAAAGCCTAGAATTTAAGCAGATTCCCTTGATAGTACTAGTGAATGATACATCTTACACATTTTTCCTCGAAAAAATGATTTGCAAAACAGAAAATAAATTACAAAAACTTTAAAAAAAGTTTTCCCGATTTTTTTAACTCCCAGGAAGGCGCGAAAGAAACTTCAAAACTATTTTTAATCAATAAACACTGAGTCTTCCAGTCGTTTAAAAAAGTTCAATTATTATAAGCTTGGTCGCTCGCTTTATTTGCTCAAAATTGGGCTAAAAATCAAACCGTTTTTTTTTCGACACTGAGAAAAATTTTTGCAAATTTTTATGAATCTCAGTTGAAAGGGCTTTAACATGATTTATTTCAATGCAAATTTGTGGTACCCAATATTGCGCAAGAAAAACTAGAAAACAAAATATATTACATGCGAAGACAAATTTCCTCCGCGCTTTCAGTCGTCGGACCAAACATTTAACACTAAGCCCTTTTTAAGCTTTGAAATTATCAAAGCATGCTTGATCAATTGAGAAAAATTGTCCAGACGAAACAAACTTACACAGTGACGAAAATGCACTTCGCATGCACAAGCAAAAATATGACCGATAACGCTTTCGAGAAAAACTGAATGAGTAAAACTTTGAGTCTACAAAATTTCTTAAGTGACGCACGCCAATTATGAGCCTACATAACTTCTATTTGACGCAAGGCAATTATGACGCACTAGCACTACCACTCAATTTGAAAAAAAAAAAAGAAATTTACCGACTAACATGCCTCAATTTATAGAGCGGACGCATTTTAGCTAGTATACGAAAAAGTTCATTTAAAACATCCGACACTTCCCAGTTTCGAACCCTCCAATTTTTTTGCGGGTCTCCTTCCCTACCTTTACGCTACTCCAGGATACCTCAAAGTTAAAGTGCTATTTTTATTATAGTGGTCCTATAATAGTGTTAATATCCTTAGCATTGGATGTACTTAGTAGCTTGGTCATTAAGTTATTGATCAAAATGAACACTTTCAAAATGAACACTTTTCGTCGCAACAATAATTGCGTCGCAACAATATTTGCGACTTAGCTTGAAAAACAGTCATACTATAACACAAGGTTTTGCTTGTGTAATTAACACAAAAACTTAAAACGATTGGGGAAATATCTAGCTATAATTCCCACCTTAAAAAACAATGAGGTATTTTCTGAAATAGGGAGCAAGATTTAATAAGTGACAAAAAGGTTTAAATTGAATTGAAATGAAAATTTTCAAAAATTTTGCGAATTTTCCCATTCTCAAGCAGGCGTCTAAAGAAAATTCGAACCCTAAATTTGCAGGATTTAAACTTATGTTTCAAGACTCGAACAAACACTTTAAAAAGAGAAAACGCCCTATTATGAGTCTGCTCGCTTGATTCATTCGCTCGAAGTTAGACTGGGATTAATTTTTCAAACCAATTCTTTTAAAACCAATTCTTCAAACGAACACTATATAATAAACTTTAAAAAATTAAATCAAACGCGAAGACAAAGTTTCTCACTTGAGCGAGACAAAGAGGTTAGCTCACTTGGAACAGAAATTTAGTTAATGAAGCGACAAGCAGCATAGCAGTCAACTGAAGAATTCGTTTTGAGCAATTATTTTGAGAAGCTGTCTTATTAAGCTAGTTGGTGTAACTGATTTGGCCGAAACACAATGCCTTCCCGATTGCAATGCAGTTTGTATGTATTTGCTAATCGCAAGTCTAAAATAAAAAAATAACAAAAGAATTAACAAAGAAAACTAACAAAAAGAAACTTTTAAATTATTAGTTTCTTTATTCAAAGAAGAAGTGTCTTAGACGCTTGATCAAGTTTGTATAAATTCCCAAAGAAAAAGTCGCCATTCGGCTAATGAAGTAATTTTCTGAACCAGAAAAAGCAACGGGCTCCAAACTTCCATTTAAATATTTGAAAGCAGTCTGAAAACCATTAAAACCCGGGACTTTGGAGGCCTCAATTTATTACTGTCACTTGAATGCGAAAATAACGCTGAACTTTTAAAACTTCGTTGAGCCCTACAACCTTCGGCTAACTAGAAATTCAACATTCAACATGGAAAAAACCATGAAGCAAAAAAAGTCAGAAGCAAAAAAATATAAGAAAAACAAACCATGAAAGAGTAACACTTCAAATAAGGGTAGCCGTTTGTTGTGCAAGTATCACACAAAGTCCCGGCCACAAAAAAACTAAAATTTCAAAAATTGAATATGAAAAAATCAAGCTTTTAAAAAATGAAAAAACATTTTCATAAATTTTTTGCATAATTAAAGCTTATCCCCATCGGGCGCGGATCCATGTTTTTTATAAGCCTGCTAGCTCGCTTTAACCCCTCGAAATTACAAAGGGAAGTAGAAAAAAATCAAACCCGTTTTTCTCGACACTATGAAAATTTTAAAGGGCGTTCAAATCAGGACTAAAATGGTTTCAATTTATTATTTAATTTAATTGTGGTACTAACCTGAATACAAATTTTATACAGATAACCTAACCTAATTTTCAGTGTTTCCTGGATGGAAAGTAAACATTTCTCATCTAGCCTTAGAAGTATACAATTTCTAGACAGAATGTTCCAAAATCTTTTCATTGCTCAACCGCAGCGATATAAACGTTTATTCTACATGTTTTGAATATATGCAATAGTCGTAGCAAACAAATGCGAATTAACACTTGTTAATACAAGTGTTACTTTGCCTCAGAAAGCTACAATCATTACAAGATCTGAAGACAAGTGACCGGGGGCTTACAGTAACGTCTAGCTAATGGGAGAACAAGGTAGGAACCCCTCCGGAAGAATTTTGTCAAGCTACACAAAAGCCTAGATTTAAATTAGTGTTGATCAGAAAAAAGATCAGAAACAAAGAAGGTTAGGAAATGCCCTACTTTTTAAAGAAAGAAAAAATTATTTCTCCAATAAAAAAAATGGACTTTGAAAAACTTTATCGCAGACAAGTTTACGAAAAAAGCTGATGGACAATGTGCAACAGCCGTGTCCACGTGACGCCTAGCCTGAATACAGTTATAATAAAAGACAGTCAATAATATTTTAGAAGAAAAATAATTGATTTTAATTTTATATTCATTTTCATTTAATTTTTCCCCTTGACTTGCCCAATAATGAGATGCTTTTGATAAAAAAATATACGCACAAACGTTGGTTTTTTGCTGCCCTTTATCACACACCCCAGCTCATTTATTTTCTACCTCAAATTTTTAGAAGACCACAAAAATTATAAAAAAACGTCATTTCCAAAAAAAATTGTGCAGCCAAATTTTTGGGCATAATTTGCAACTCCTGCGAGTACTCTGTCAGCATCCCAACAAAAAATTGAAACATTAAAAAAATAGGAAGTCAGTACAAACCAGGGAAATCGATTTTTGTTATAGCTAAAAGAGTAAACAGTTTGCTATATGATACTCCAAGTGACCCGGTGAATTCATGTAGTAACTGAGTTTCAACAAAAAAATACAAACGAATTAACCAGAAAAAACTCCGATTATACAAAAAACTTCAGGAGATATTACAAACGAATCGACAAAAAGCAGAAAACTGCAATATTTCCAAATACTCAATCGATAAATTTTTAAGGAAAAACAAGTGTTTTGTACAGCAAGTTATCTATTTATTTATCTTTATGTAGTATTTATTTAGCTTTCTCAAATATCGGAAACAGAATTTACAGTAGCATATATAAAATATAACAGAACAAAAAAATATATAGACCAAAACTGACTAGAATTTGATGTAGAAAAAACTCTTTAAAAAATTTTCATCTCTTACAAAGAATGCAAGACTTTGAAAAAAGTTTAGAAACTGAATCATATTGTCAAAACAATTGTGTAAATTAATGATTTTAATGAAAGGCTGGTCACCTATTAACTCTATTTTGATTTTTTTTTCTAAAAAATTTGACAATTTATTTCTAGCGCTTCTTAAAACTGCAAACTTCAAAATTTTCTTCAGAGACGAACAAAATATGAAAAGGAATTGAAGCGTAAACGTCATAAATTGAAGCGTAAAATCAAAACGTAAAATTAATCAACAAAAACTAAGAATAACATCACGCATCCCAAAAATATACACAATTTTTTTGAAAAAAAAGGAAAAAAACTGCACTTAATTACAACCTAATCGATCTTATTTTTTAAAAAATATTCAAGAAATTAACCATGTCAGCTTTTGAGGGTGACATTTACTAATTCTACTAAAAATGACCATTCAGTGAACGAAATTAATTACGGGAAAAAGTCTACTACCCGATTGCAATAATCTTGGTTATCGCAAGGGTAATTAATTAACAGTGATAAAACAGATAATTTAAGGTATAAGCTCCAAATATTGCTTTTGAACTATTTGTAAGCAAACTATAAAAATGCAGTGCAACATCACACATATTAACACAAGATACCAGGTTCGAATTTATCTCTAAACACAATTACAACTGTTTGACTTCAAAAGATCGTAATGTAGCATCTGAAACAGAAAAATTGTGAGGCAAAACAATTTCAGCTTGCATAATATTGAGTTCTGTACAGGATGTAAGCCCCAAACAAGTTGAACATATCAAATATATATAGGTAACTTCCCAAATGGCATAATTCCCAAATGGCATAAAAATGAAACTTTTCCCAAATGCCATACATTTCAAGTTTTCATTGTAATTCAAACGTTTTCTATCAATTTTTAATTCTAACATTTTGTCAGGAACGAAAACATGTCAACAAGTTTTGGAATTAATTGCTTTCAAACAAATAATAAGCAACAAATTTGTCGGAAAATAATGCAGGTTATCAATAGCCTGTTATTGATGAACCTGTTAATAATGAAGCTTATCAATAACCTGTTTTAGATTGTTTTAGACTTTCCTAATGCACCAGTTGCATCAAATTTATTCCATTTAGGAAATTTTTCATTTTTTATGCCATTTGGGAATTATGCCATTTGAGACGTAATCGGAAATCTGATATTAATTTCCAGTTTCGAAATTGGAAGTCAATCACGTTTTTCGTGACCTTAACACTTTTGCTGTTCGATAGTGGAGTTTGCCTTCCTTTTAACAATGGAAATGCACTGAACTTAAAAAGAAACCACAAGTCAAACCGCGAAAAATCAAAATTGAGCGTGAACAAATTTCAAGACTTTATCTAAAACTTTATTTCAAGACTAAAAAAATCAGAAGGACCTATATAAGAGTACTAACATCGCTCATTACCCTTAATAAGTAACGCAGTTACCTAGTGATAACCTGCATTATGATCTTGTTTTATTACACTTGAAACTTCTGGACAAGCTACTCGCGATATCTATTTAAAAAAAGAAGATCGCTATCAAGTTTGGCCTCGGTAAAAATCCTCAAAGAATTCAATTGGATGTTAATGATGTCAAAACACAGTTTTTGCCGACGAAAATTGCTCTCTATTTTGTATACATTCAACTAATTTTTCTTTTGAATTTTAAATTCAATTTTACTTGTACTTTTTTCAAAACCCGCATATTGTAATCCATTCCGATAATATTTTCTCTAACCATTATTAACATTATCTACTACATATAATTCGACCCTCCTTCCTCTCTTCGTCTGTCTGTTCTGTTTACGATGTCTTCAGGAACCCGATGTAGTTCTGCATGCTTCTATTAGTCACGTGCGACTGTTCCAATCTGTCCCTTAAGTCTTGCAGCCTCACGTTGAACTTGCGATCGGCCTGAAAACAGTGCGAAACATGCAGGGGTGCAATTAACATGCCATGGCAGTGCAGTAAAATCACTTAAATAGATGCGCAATTGATCTTCATACTCATGAAACATATATAATTGAACGTGCAAAAACCGAACATGCTTTTACTTAATTTCGAAAAAATAAAGTCGAGCAAATGAATTCAAATGACCACTTAATGTATTTTGTAAACTGCAAGCTGATTCCGCTATTTTCTTTGATCTTTCTGCTGTCGTGGAATCCACAGAAAAATGGTCAAAACAATGTATTGCCCCTAATCGCTTCAAAAGCAGCAAAATTTGAGGATTTCGAATGCAAATTTACAGAATCCAAAATAGCTTTTGGAAATCATAAGCTTTAAATGATTCATCCACGAAGTGGATTTCGTTGTCGCGGACTCCGCATTTTTTAACGAAAAACCTTAAAATGCAGTCGGAATCAGCGCATCGAATTGTTTGTGCTCAAGCCAGTAACAAGTACTTACGTGACTAAATTGCCATGTTTTGTGCCATGTATTTGAATTTGACTTAATTCTTTCCGGAATTACTTCCGATAGTAACTGACAGAACAACGTTTAAAGACAGTTTATTTATACAGTGCTGATTTAAATTATCCGGAAAAAACGAATACAACTTGAAATTTAAAATGCTTTCTTCTCAAATTGGGTTAGACAAAAAATGACGAAGAACAATCTTGCTTAAAGTTTCAACAGAATTAACATGATGCGATTTGTGTTGAAAAATTCGGGCCCAAAAATTTACCAAACAAAAGATCGTTTTTGGCTTTTTTAGTCAATCAGAAATTACTCCAAGCATATTTGTTCATTTACTGACAAAGTTAAATGCAATGCAAGCCTCTCATGTAGCTCAGCAAAACTTAGGAACGGTAAAAATTTCTCAACTTTGTATAAACATGTTTATTTTTCTTTGATAACCAAAAAATGTCATTTTAACAAGATTAAACCTATCTTCAATTTTGTTGGGCTACATAAAAGGCATGTAGTGATATAATTTTGTCAGTAAATGAACAAAGATGCTAGGAGTAATCTTTGATTGATTAAAAAGCCAAAAATGTTCGTTTTTTGGGTAAATTTTTGGACCCAAGTTTTGCACCACAAATTGCACCATATATGGAAACTGTATCATAAGCATTTTTGTGAAAAAAAAATTAAAGTCAGTTTTTTCGTTACCAGTCTGTTGAACTGTTTTCAAAAAGCCGCAGAAATTGTTTAATTTTTAATTTCTATTGATTTTAGAAAACGTATGAAAATTGTATGTCATGCATTTTCTCCATACACTTGATGAATGGAATTGTATGATAATGATTTTTGTTGAATGGAATTGTATGATAAGCATTTTCGGTGTATGGAGGTCAACCCGGGTTAGTTCTGTTGAAATTTTAAACAAGATTGTTCTTTGTCAATTTTTCGTCTAAAAACAATTCAATTTGAGAAAAAAAGCTTTTTAAATTTCTAATTTCATTCTTTCTGACCCAATAATTTTAATCAACACTATCAGATAGCAACTAGGATGAAATGCATTAGTAATTAAGATGAACGTCGTCATCAGCAATTAGACTAAAAACCACCCTATCTTTTTTTAAGATAAAAGTCAACATCAGGAAAAGGACAAAAAATAATTTCAGCAGGTAGATTAAAATTCGCCATCCGCAATTAGGATAAAAACACCATTTAACTAATTAGGACAAAAATCACCGCCAGCAATCAGAATAAAAGTCACTATCAGCAATTAGGACAGAAGACAAATTCAGCAGCTAGGACAAAAAACCCCATCTGCAATTAGATCAAGACTGCTCGTATCAGGGCGAAGCCGTGAATGTTCCGAATGCCTTGTAAGGTCTATGGAGCATTAATAACATGAAAAATTTCAATGTAAAAGAAAAAATAAAATAAAAAATTTTTGAAAAAATTTGAGATTTTGTGTAAAAACATCCCCCCACACGTCATATTAAGTTCAAAGTGATAAATTTTGCGCCTATTAACAAATCAATTATGGCATAAAAGCATCCTTGAACCAATTTGGAACGATTTCTAAGACGGATTAAATCTCGCTTACGCGATAATAGCGCGAAATTTATCGCGCGTTAATTGTCCCAAATTGGCCAAAATTGCAGTCTTTAAACCCCCATAACTTTATGAAAAATGATCACAGGTAAAATATTTTTTCAAATTCAAGCTCAGGACAACAGTAGCTGTCGAATGATATTTAAAAATTATGTCAAAAATGGCTAGTTAAAAAAGTCGAAATTTGTCTGAAGAAAAAAAAACCACCCCGGATCACAAATATTCCGTTACTTTCGTATCGAAAGTCGGAACAATAATCTAGGAGTATTAGAGAACTTGGGTCTTATGCACTAAATGGTCCAAAGTTTCTATGCCTATCTCATGAGCTGAAAAGTATGCGATCGAATCTGATTGGCTAAATGGAGATCAGCAACATAATCAGGCATTTCCATCAACATCTCGAGCAGATAAAAATATTAGCCGACATAACCAAAAACGTAGAATTTTGTCAAAAAATCCAACTAATTTCAAGTTTTTCGAACTAAATACATTTTGATGAAATATTTTGACCAGATCCAAAGTTCTGTATTTTTGTGTATTTCGGCAACACAATTTATCTGCTGAAAATTTGAAATGAATTTATCTGCCAATCAACTTCAACCATATTAATTTCATTTCAAGGTCAACATGTAGAAATACTGATTTTGGGCCGTTTAGTACAAATGACACGAGAACTTCAATAGTTTGAAAAAAAAATAAACAATTTGAGTTATATAAATTTTTTTTTCAAGTTCAGTTTGAAGCCCAAAGCAAAAATAAAATACAATTAGAGCACATATTGACTTCAAAGAATGAGCGTTCATCCGGCAAGCTGAACAAAAAAAATGGATTTTCAGTGCATGTTTTAGTACTTAAAGGGTAAATGGAAAATTTAAGTTCAACAATGCTTAAAAAGTTATCTTTGGGTAAGACAAAAACAAAAAAGACCCTGATTTAGTTTCCGCGAAACTGAAAATGTGTTCAACATTGCCGAAAATTGAGGATATTTGAAAACTTTGAGTTCTGTTAACGAATTGTTGGCAATTTTGCATGAATACTGTTTTTTTTGGAGTAAAACCGAGAAGAAAGTTTGATGACAATTCACAGAGTTAATTGTTTGTTCAGAAAAAAATATGAAGCCGCGCTTGGGGTAATTTTGTTTGTTTAACAAGCGGCATCAATTAACATGGCCTTTTTTGGCTTTTCAACTTCCGTCGATTTGAATTAATTTTTTTCTCAGTGATTTAGGGATAAAAAAGTACTCAAAATAATTTTCGGCACTGTTGAACAACAATTAATTTTTCGGCACTGTTATACTTCGGCACTGTTGTACTGCCCCATAGCTCTTAATTAATCACACTCTTTCTAGCTCTGAATAAAGTGTATCGTTGGTTCAATATATTTACAGAATCCAAGAAAAATTTGCGAAACTCATTAATCAATGCGGACTCTACTTACCGAAGTGCGGATTCTCAGCAACTTGCAACATTTGCTCGCAGCGGGATCCGCGGCACTTCAAATAAGTTGTAAAAAATTACATTTCAAAAACTTGTTTGCGGTTTCCGTAATAATTTACTTAAAAACAAAGCAGAAATTTAAATTCTTAAAATTTTTTGTAGCATTTTACGGAAGCCAAATGTAATGCCGAAGCCAAAGATCTAATCACCACCAAAAACAGCATAAAAATGACTGAAATCTGACCTTTTAAAAAAAATTACTTTCTTGTAAAAAAACAAAGTTAATTTTCTGCATTACTTAGCTGTATCTGACCATTGGTGTTGATAATCTTCTTGAAAAATTTAAGTGCTTCAGCTTTTTTCAGCTATTAACCTACTAATGCATAACCTCTGCTGCAAACAGATCATAAAGTTGATCATGTTAGCAGTGGAAATGAATATGACAACACTGAAATTTATCTCAAATTATAAATATCCAGTCCTGTTAGCAAGATTATATTAAAAGCTTCTGCAAAAACACCTCAAATTATTCTAGATTCTTCGTCAACAAAAATCAACAAGGCTGCTCGTATCAGGGCGAAGCCCTGAATGTTCCGACTGCCTTTTAAGGTTTATGGATCAGCAGTAATAGCATAAAAAAATTAAATGAAATAAAACAAAATGAAATTTTTTTTCTTCTAAATTTTAAAATTTTTTATGGAAATCATCCCCCCACACGCCATATAAAGTACAAAAAGAGAGATTTCATTCCTTGTAACAAATCAATTATGGCAAATAAGCTTCGTTCATCCAATTTGGAAAGATTTACAGTGCTGATTTAAATTATCCACGACAAAACGAACAAAACTTGAATTTTCACACGCGTTTTTCTCAAATATGGTTAAGATTAGGCAAAAAGTGAAGAGAACAAAAGTTGCTTAGAATTTCACCAGAACTAATATGGTGCCATTTTTTCTCCGAGATTCTTAACAAAAATTTTACCCCAAAAATGGGTCATTTTGACTTTTTTCAATTAATCAAGAATTACGCTGAAACTACTTTGTTAATTGATACAAAATTATATCACAGGAAGCCTCTTACGCAGCTAAACAAAGTTTAAGAAGGGTTAAATCTCCAAAAATTTGCGGAAATTGTTTAAAATTTATTTTTTAACAGAGATTCTGGGTTTTATATAGTAAAAATCACATTTATTGACTATCAATAGAAAATTTTTTCTCTTATACTGGTTTTTGGAGATTTAACCCTTCTTAAACTATGTTGAGCTGCGTAAGAGGCTTCCTGTGATATATTTTTCGTATCAATTAACAAAGTAGTTTCAGCTTAATTCTTGATTAATTGAAAAAAGCCAAATTGACCCATTTTTGGGGTAAAATTTTTGTTCAGAATTTAGGAGGAAAAATGGAACCATATCAATTCTGGTGAAATTCTAAGCAACTTTTGTTCTCTTCACTTTTTGTCTAATGTTAACCCAATTTGAGAAAAACGCGTTTGAAAATTCAAGTTATGTTCGTTTTGTCCGGATAATTTAAATCAGCATTGTATAAGATGGATTAAATCTCCGCTTACGCGTTAATAGCGCGAATTATATCGCGCGTTAATTGTCCCAAATTGCCAAATTGCTCAAAATGACCAAAATGGCAATCTCTAAACCCTCATATCTCTACGAAAAATGATCACAGGTGAAGTATCTTTTCAAATTTAAGCTCAGGACAACAATATCTTTTGAATGATATAAAAAAATTCCGTCAAAAATGGCTAGTTAAAAAGTCGAAATTTGTCTGAAGAAAAAAAACCCAGCCCGAGCACAAATATTCCGTTACTTTCGTACCGAAAGTCGCGAACAAAAAGGGCTCTCAGATATGCTTCGTACTATATCTTGCAATGAATAAGAGGCTATCTCAACTGGTTCGGTGACTCAAATTCAACGAACCATTAACTGTTAATTTTATGTATACTGAAACATGTGTAATTGGCTCTTCTGCACTTAAAAATTGTATTGGAAATTTGAAAAAAAATTGTTATGTTATCAGAAATTCTGAGGTGTTAAGCTTAAGAAAAAATCATTACCAAAGCATTGTTTTTCATTGCGTGTTTAGGATGCTAGGTTTTTTTCAACATGTTGCGTTTGATAGGAGCTTTACTGACATCACCAATTATTTGTGAAACTAAAAACTCCATTATAGGCCATAGCAGAAAAAAATCATCCCAAACAGAAGTTTTCCTTCCTTTCTTCGATAATATCCAGGAAAGTTCGCACTTAGTTGTTCGTATTCCAATATCATTGCGGGTTCAAATCGCACGTGCGCTGCAATTTACAAGATGGGCTCTGGTGAGTATAGCCGAAGTTTTAAATAATTGAACTCCGGGTTATGTCTCAGGCTGCGATGAACTTAATAAAATTATAGCATGCCAAAAAGTCTGAAATGGAAATTTTGTAGGAAAAGCTGCGAATATGGGATGCTTTTTTTCACAAACCTCTTCTTTGGCCCGGCGCACCTGGCTGAGTTCGGCCTTGTTGCGAGCCAGTTGTGCCTCCAGCTCCATCACTCTAGCCTGACTGGACCTGCATTAAGCAAACATGTCTGAACTTGGCTCTTTTCCACTCCCCTCCCCACATTTTTTCATTTTTCTATTTTCATAGCTGTTTTAGGTTTTATCATGGCTAAATGCGCTATCTTATGATGTAAGACTTGAAAAAAAATCTGTCTGTTCACAAGAGTTAGCTTATTCATCATGTAAAGTTTCAATACGTTATGACGACGTTGAAACACTTTTTCAAAGTTGAAATTCACATGTGGGGAAAAAATGGAAAAGAGTCCTGAAATTATTTAGTTTGACCTCAACCAAATTTCGGCGGCTAAAATAGTATGACCAGTAAACCACGAGAAAAAAGAATAAAATATCAAAAACTGATCAAGTTTTCCCGCAGAAATGCCATGGTGATCCTGATTACAATTCCAAAGAATCTAAATTTCTACAGAAAGGAATCCTAATATGTTAATACAAATATATATTACATGCATATGATCATGACCACAAGAAGCAACAATAAAATGCAAAAATCTGGTTTAGAAGCACTTGCAACAAAGATGCTCGATTGGTCTGTTTCTGTGGCCACACTTTTGCATGCAATAACTAATGTTTTTACAAAGCTGATGAGTTCTTTTTCCTTTCCCCCACCTTCAAACTTATACTATTCATTAAACCGATTGTTACAAAAATTGGCATGCAAACTGAATAGGCCATGAAAAACGTATTTGGTCTTCATGTTTAACCTTGTAAAATCCCTCGTTACACCGTAAAATTGATGCTTATGTGAGGTGGAGGCAGGGGCTCCGTAAAAAAATTTTCAATTGAAATAATTGTAATGAATTATTGACTTTCGCTTCTCAAAATTTAAAATAATTGATTTTCAACATATTATAACTGCAATAATTTATTGCGGAAACCAAAGTAAATGCAAAAAGAATCTAAATTTTATCGTGTCAAAATTTCACTTTGGACAACTATGTCAAAACATGACACCTCTGCACCTTGAAGCTGCCCTATTTTTAAAATCAACAAAAACTTTTGGAATGCGGAGCTATGTTCAAAAATTATTTAATTTGTACAATTTTTCAATGGTTTCAAAATGTTTGGAAAAAAATATTGCAGTAATTGATTTTCGACTTGCAAAACAATTGCAATAATTAATTGCAGCCAGAAAAAACTACACAGTAATTGATTTCCAGCTGCAATACCAATGCAATTAACTTTACGGAGCCCCTGGGAGGGGGGAGGGTGGGCAGAATGAGTCAGCTGATGCCTCAAATTTTTTTCTGGGTCATCGAATAGCGTCTTCTAGTTAATTATGTCTGTGGGAGCTTTGAGGTGTCATGTAATACCTCTCTCTGTTGGCTAGTCTCTGCTGCTGTGCTTCTGCATTCCTCTTCCCATCCTGGATGGCAGTGTCCAGCTGACGACTCAGAGCACTCACCTCACGCCCTTTCTCCTCCACTTGCAGCTACACGCAAATACAAACAATAATTACAATTAAAAATTGTTCTCATGAACGTTTGTTACAATGATAACTTAGTGTAACTCATCATTTACCAAGCAACGAAACTAACGGGACCTTGAAGGGTTTACATCCTGTTTGGAAGCACTGTGTGGGATTCCTCTCAAATTATTTTAAATAAAGTGCGGCAAAAAGTACATTTCAGAACCAACAACCAAAATAGCCTAGTAAACATTTCAGTCTTCTGAATAATTATCTTTTATTTTATGAAAACAATCATCAAGCTTCAATTTCTCAAATATCATAACACTTTTCGATGGATCAATAGTTTCAAGTGCTTTGTTTGCATTATGTAAGCATTTGTTGATTAAACTTTTCATTTTCGAATACATTTTTCTTCAACATGAAACTAAAATTAAATTGAAAGAGAATTTTTTTTTGTCGACGAACCGGTATGAATTTTCAAAGTGTTTTTCGCGGCTTGAATAAAAGTTTTTATGTGCAGGTATAATGCATATAGTAGCCTAAATAATAGTCAAATATAGTTCTAACTTAGCTTAAACGCTAATTTCGATTTGGTTTTTCTCGACACTAAAACATGTTTAAATTTTTTAATGTGGATCATTTCAAAATTGATAAAACTTTAAGATGATTAATCACTCAGCCCAACTTGAAAAACTCTTGTGGTATTTGATTTTGCGCAAAGCAAACTCAAGCACGCCTAAAAACTAAGATTCTCCCCATTTTCAAATATGGGAAAAAATCACATCAATGCCCGCTAAAAAAAACATCATTTACAGCACTAAGTTTTTTTAATTTCAAATTGTTGGCGATATTGTTTCTAGTCAACAAAACCTGAACCGAATTTATCAATTAAGACTGCTAATTTCGACGATATTTTTATCAGGCAAATATGCACGTAAACAAGGTGTTAAAAGATTTAAATAACCAGAAAAACAATATTTTGTGAATTTAAGGGTTAAAAAATTAATTTAAAAAGTAAAAATATAACTGAAAAATTCTACGGTGCCGAAATCGAGCTGACCTCAAAATTAAAATTCTTACATCCTAGCATCTGCGCCATTGCCGTCTAACATAATCTGATCCCTGGAGGGCCAGCTGAAGCTGGAATTACCTTCTTGATAACATTTTAAAAAATGTACAGATGCGAAAGGAAAGCTTAATTTTCAAGCGTTTCAATATGTCAAAAATTGGTTAAAAAATTATATCTCGTTTCTATTGAAAAACAGAGAGCATGCTTTTGCCGGGGTGATTATTTTTTTGTTCAGAATTGGCACGGTCGTTTTTAAGATACTGAACAAAGTCCAAAAATGGGTCTAAAGCCCAAATATTTTTCCACTAAAAAGCCGAAACCGGTGAAAAGTTGTTTATACTAAGATACCTCTCTAGCATGTTCTTTCGATTGAATATTTCATCTCAGATTCAACACCGTTTTGTTTGACGGAAAAAAATTCAAAACGCACATATTTTCAGTAAGGGGACTTTTGCTGAGTCCAACATTGTGTTTTTACAAAAATTAGTCGGTAGTAGCTAGGCAAAGACATTTACTATCTCATGTTCTTTAGTTTGAACCCGTTATCTTAGATCATGCAGAGTAGTTTACGAGAAAACGAAAAAAAATATATACATATATTTATACATTGATACGATGTTTTTGAGAATCAAAAAAAAATTGAGAACAAAGGATATTATAAAAAAAACAAGACTGCTCGTATCAGGGCGAAGCCCTGAATGTTCCGACTGCCTTTTAATGTTTTATGGAGCAGTAATAACATTTAAAAAATAAATGAAATAAAATAAAATGAAACTTTTTTTTTTTAATTTGAAATTTTTTTAATGAAAATCATCCCCCCTCACGCCATATAAAGTACAAAAGGATAAATTTCGCTCCTTGTAACAAATCAATTATGGCAATTAAGCAACCTTTAAACCCTCATAACTTTACGAAAAATGATCACAGGTGAAATATCTTTTCAAATTTGAGCTCAGGACAACAATAGCTTTCGAGCGATTTTTAAAAAATCCGTCAAAAATGGTTAGTTAAAAAGTCGAAATTTGTCTGAAGAAAAAAACCCACCCCGAGCACAAATATTCCGTTACTTTCGTATCGAAAGTCGGAACAATAACAAAAATCTTCTTGAAAACAGGAAATAGTCACCGATAATTCAGGAAAGAGTCACCGATAATCCTTTATCAAACAGGAAATCGGCACCGATAATTCAGATACAAAGCTATAAGATTTGCAGCAAAAGTTAATCTGATATAATGCTGCAAAAGTGCCACTTATTAAAAAAGCAGCGCTTTTATTTGCGACTTAGGTCGGAAATAAGTAGATATCGTAAAATGACACTACGCTCCGGTGGTTATTTATTTGAAAAATTAACACCACACACGCTAGTGAAATGCTAATGTCTTTTCACGACCAAAAAAACGGTTAGCAGTTCAATTTGAAACACTTTCTGAGCTGGATTAAATAACCGCTCATGCATTATCTGTAGAAACAAAAAATATGCAAATTATGATTACATTTTCAGGCCAGAAACTTGCAAATCAAACATTCTATGGAATTATACTTTTGATACTTAATTCATTATATAAGATTCCTAAAAACATCAGCCTGTTCCGAGGCATATCGGTACTGCACGTTAATGTTCCAGATTGGCCAAACTGACAACTAACAAACCCGCATAACTTCAAAAAAACAACCACAGGTAAAATACTTTTCATAGTTGCGCTCAAGACGTTATTCTTTTCAGTTAATATAACAAATTGTGTCCAAATATAACGCTCAAAGTGACTATTTATAAGCCGAAATGCGTCAGAAGAAAAAAATATATACTGCTGAGCTGAAATACTCCGTGACTTTCTTCGAAATTCGGAACAGCTGCAAGTTCCTAGCACACTATTTCTGTTTTCCCTCTATTTGTTTAGTTGTAAAGCCAGCTTTCTTAGGTGGGGGGGGGGGGGGGGGGGGGAGGTGTAATTAATTTTAAAATTGAACGAGAATTGACATTTTTGACTTCCTTTCGAAGTAGTATTGATCGGAAATGGTTCGCATTACACCCTTACCCATCTTCCCAATAGACTTCGACCTACAATTGAATTAAGAACAAAAATTTTTAGCGCCACTGCGAGCAAATTGATCAATTTTGATAGGTAGAAAACTCCTGACTTAGAAGAAAAACATGCTCGGCTCGCAACTGTTTTGGGGGAAGATGGGGTTAAATTGGGCACCGCGACAACTCGAAACAGAAGACGAAAGTCCTAACTTCTGTTGGCGAGCTCGCAAAACGTTTGCGCGACTGCCTCCGCGAGCATATTGCGAGTTGTCTTTTAACGCGAGTTGTCTTTTATTGAGAGTTGTCTTTCGTTTCGAGTTAAATTGACCGTTAAATTGACCGCTTAAGTGATTAATGAGTTCTACTTACTGATAGTTGAGAGTTGAGTTGATCCGATTTGTTCAACTTTATTAACGTTTCCTCGTTCTCTTCCTCCAAGTGTTGTAGTCTCCTGACAACACAAGACATAAATGAAACAAAATTACAGATAGTAGTAGTTTCCGAAAAATCAGTTCGATCACGTCGTGAACAGGCATGCTTGAAACAGATAAAGGTCAAAAAAAAACGCCAGGAACCCCAATAAGAAAAAAATGCATTTTTGTTTCGGTCAGGTAGCAGGATCAACACCTAACACTCCGAGCCATTTCAGCTCCAGTCATTTCCGCCCCAAAAGCAGTCAATTCCGGAAATGACTGTGTTTTGGGGGCGGAAGTGTCTGGGCCTGAAATGACTGCGGCGGAAATCTCTTGTCATGGAACTCTAGACAATGCCTTGCGCGCAAAAACACTCAGTAGGTGGATCAGAAAACCTCTTGATGCTGACGGCGTTTTTATTATAGGACAATTTTATATGCGCTGAAAAATAGCCAAAGCAATATTATATAGCTGAAAAAGCCGCCATATGCACATTTTGGGTCGATTTACCCTTTGCTATCCGCCGATTAATGAAAGCATAAAAAGTATAGAAGAGGTGGACCAAAACATCTTAGCTGGCATAGTCATAGTGTAAATACCAAACAAGAGTAATTATGTTTGATTGATTATTCTAAGTTAGCTTTCGACTCACCTCTGCATGTTTTCTAGAGTCCTATCCACGTTCATTTTCTCTTCTTGTAGTTGCATCAGTTTGGCATTGTTTCTGTTAGCATCTAGCTGCGCATGCTCCGCCTACAAAAAAAAGAAACAAGACACTAAGATCGATTCTAAATATCACCAACCAAATTAGAACCAAGTCAACATATTCCCACTTAAAGCGTGGGGGTGGGAGATATTTACTCGTTTTTATGTGTTGAAAAGAAGATCTTTCCAACTGCATCTTTCTAACTTATATGTATTGAAAAGAATGTTTCCAACTGCAAGAACTCTTTATTTTCAACAAAACTTTGTCATTGCACAAGCTTGCTTTTGCTTAAAAAATCGGTTTCATTTCACATTTACCAGCTTCTTTCTGTTGAAAGTAGTCAAAAAATTTATCTAGTGACGCAATAAGATAAAGATAGTTTCGGGAAGTTTCAGCAAGTTGTCACATTTTGACAGGCGCCGAAAATTTACATGCAAACAACGACTCTTTTCATTATCCAAAAAGCAAATAACAAAACCATTTTATTCAAGTAAACGGTAAAAAATTATATGAATAGATCGGAATTTTTGTACAAAATGCCAAACAAACAAAAGAAACTCATATACGTTTTTCTCAGCATAGAAAGGAATTGAAAAATAGCTCAGCTTAAAAAACGCCAGGTTTTTTCACGTGACTGAAAGAGCAAAAATGATATGTGAAACATATCTATATTTTACTTAAATTTAATTTTTGCGCATAAACAGATTTTGTTTCATACATTTTTTCCGATCATTCAAAATGGAAAGTAAATTTTAATTATTGTTCCGACTTTCGATACGAAAGTAACGGAATATTTGTGCTCGGGGTGGGTTTTTTTTCTTCAGACAAATTTCGACTTTTTAACTAACCATTTTTGACGGAATTTTTTTATCATTCAAAAGGTATTGTTATCTTGAGCTTAAATTTGAAAAGATATTTCACCTGTGATCATTTTTTGTAAAGTTATGAGGATTTAAAGATTGCCATTTTGGCTAATTTGGGACAATTAACGCGCGATATATTTCGCGCTATTAACGCGTAAGCGGAGATTTAATCCGTCTTAGAAATCGTTCCAAATTGGTTGAAAGAAGCTTATTTGCCATAATTGATTTTTTACAAGGAGCGAAATTTATTCTTTTGTAGTTTATATGGCGTGTGGGGGGATAATTTTCATGGAAAAAGTTTCAAATTTTGGAATTTTTTTTCTTTCATTTTTTTACGTTTAATTTGTTAATGATATTTATGTTATTACTGCTGCTCCATAAACCTTAAAAGGCAGTCGGAACATTCAGGGCTTCGCCCTGATACGAGCAGTCTTGTTTTATTTGCGTTTTATTTTTCTTGCACACAACATCAGGTGTCACAACTAGTCATCGGAATGAGCCACATCGAAATGAGCCGAATAATTTATCATAATGAAACCCCTCAGTCGTGATTCGATCGACCATACAAAATTTCCAAAATCATCCTGCTGTCGGGAAAACAGGTTTAAAATTGTTGAGCTTCACTCATATTTCGAGCAAGCGACGCCGAAAGTTGGTTCGTTGAAAGTTGGTCATTATAGTTATGAAGAAATCGGTCATTTAAACCTTTTGTTTTTTTTTAAACAAAAACTAATGTTGCAAGCTTCATTTAGCCCATATTTGGCAGAAAAAGATGTCCAATATTTGTTTTCTACTCATAAAAAACGAGACTCATTTGAAAAAGAAATGTTTTATTGTAGTTTTTTTAAGTGGTCGGAAAATTCTGCGCTACTTGCACAGCAACCGTGCCCTTGAGCACAATTAAAACTCACTACAGAAACGAAAAATAAAAGAAACTTGTTCAAACCTGACTTTGAGCTCGCCCTAATAAAACTCAAAACACATTTGAGCGCTGATATTAAGCGCAGACTAAATTGCTACGTACGCGCTATGAGCGCTAACTGGAAACAGACTGATGCAAGATTAGTTAGATCTGACAATTTTCTGGAACCTTATATCTTTTTTGACAAATTAATTGCACATGAAAAATTTTTGTTCGTGCATCTTCATTTTTATTTTGTGATTTGATTCAGATGCATCATATTTCGCTTGCTAAAACACGTTTTGCGAAGGTCTGGACCGAGTTATACAAACTTTAGCACACATAACATGCTTACCACATCAAATCTTGCTAGCTGCTTAAAAAACAACAAGACTGCTCGTATCAGGGCGAAGCCCTGAATGTTCCGACTGCCTTTTAATGTTTAATAAAATGTAATAAAAATGAAAAAAAAAATACGCCATATTAAGTACAAAAGGATAGATTTCGCTCCTGGTAACAAATCAATTATGGCAAATAAGCTTCTTCCAACTAATTTGGAACGATTTCTAGGACGGATTAAATCTCCGCTTACGCGTTAATAGCGCGAATTCTATCGCGCGTTAATTGTCGCAAATTGGTCAAAATGGCAATCTTTAAACCCTCATAACTTCACGAAAAATGATCACAGGTGAAATAACTTTTCAAATTTAAGCTCAGGACAACAATAACTTTCGAATGATATAAAAAAAATTCCGTCAAAAATGGCTAGTTAAAAAGTCGAAATTTGTCTGAAGAAAAAAAAAACCCACCCCGAGCACAAATATTCCGTTACTTTCGTATCGAAAGTCGGAACAATAAACAAAGCGCAATAATGCGCTAGGCTCTTGTAATCAGCCATGCACGGTTTCGAAAGAGGAAATTATTGCAGTTATAGAAAACATTCAGAAAGTCAGGATTAAAGTCACATTGAATATGCCAGGATTCCAAAAACTATACAAAACTTAACAAGACTGCTCGTATCAGGGCGAAGCCCTGAATGTTCCGACTGCCTACTAAGGTTTATGGAGCAGCAATAATAATATAAAAAAAATTAATTGAAATAAAATAAAATGAACTTTTTTTCTCTAAAATTTGAAGTTTTTTTATGAAAATCATCTCCCCACACGCCATATAAAGTACAAAAAGATAGATTTCGTTCCTTTTAACAAATCAATTATGGCAAATAAGCTTCGTTCAACCAATTTGGAACGATTTATAAGACGAATTAAATCTCCGCTTACGCGTTAATAGCGCGAATTATATCGCGCGTTAATTGTCCCAAATTGGTCAAAATGGCAATCTTTAAACCCTCATAACTTCACGAAAAATGATCACAGGTAAAATATCTTTTCAAATTTAAGCTCAGGACAACAATACCTTTTGAATGATATAAAAAATTCCGTCAAAAATGGCTAGTTAAAAAGTCGAAATTTGTCTGAAGAAAAAAAAAACCACCCCGAGCACAAATATTCCGTTACTTTCGTATCGAAAGTCGGAACAATAACAAAATCGCAATTACACTCGGAGCTGGTTGTGCAATATGAACAAAAATAATCATTTAACTAGAAATGCCAAGAAAAAGAGGATCCAGCTGCCCCTGAGCGTCACAGTTTCTGTTAAAAAAAAAGAAACTTAATTTTAATTGAATCGTTTTTGTAGTTTTAACCACCCGCACTCTATGTTAAGCGAGACTGATAGATGTTGCTCCTGGTAAGGCAATAAAAAAGCCAAATTGCTTCTGTCAATTCAATTTGGAACGAATTCTTTTGCCACTTACGCATAATGATGAGGAATTATATCGCGCGGAATTCTGGCACTGTTCATACCATCCTTATTTGCAAATAATGGTCGCAGGTGAAATTTGTTTTAAATTATGAGCTCAAGACCTTAAAAACACTCAGATGATATACAAAACTCTGTAAAAATTGGCTAGTTACAAAACAAAGTATGTCTGGAGAAAAAAAAACCAGCTAAAGCACATATGTTCCATCACTCGCTTCGAAAATTAGAACAATCACACCTAGAAGGCAACAGGATTTGAATTCGGACTTCCGGATACATGCAATAAACACTAAGCCATGGCCTGTTAGCTTGAACTTTTTTAGATGCTGAGTTCTCAGCGGTTAAAGCTAAAACATGCTATTTAATTAACGAATAAATTCGACGCAAAACTTTGCACTACAATGTGCCACTTGCATGAAAAAAATGGACTGATTGTAGAGCACTGCGCTGGAAAACTCGTTTTTTCTGTAAAAACCTGAACGTTGAAACAGAAATATATATCTTTGATCTATGCAGCAGGAAGTTTCAAGATAACTTCCAGCTTTTGTTTCCTCAACTCAAAACTAATCGCAAATTTGCAATCATTTTTTAATTCAAATGTTCAAATTACTTATCAGTTTGACCAAATCATTTTCGGATTAAATTTGACTTTTTATGGCGATAATGTCATAGCCTATCGGAAACTTGCGTAAAAAATGAATTTATACCCAATTCAGGCGTAACTTATACCCATTTTACAAAAATTTAAGCAAAAATTTTCACTACAGTTTCCGCTTGCCATTCTGATTGACGTACTTCAAAATTCTCCAAAGTGTATTGGGCAGTTTGAGTTTTTTCCAATCGGGTTTTTAATCAACGTTTATTGGCAGTTTGAGTTTTTTCAGTAGTTTCATCTTTTGAGCTTTTAAAGATTAGACCAGGTTCAACCTTTTTCATTTATCAGTGGTGTCTTAATTGACTGATAATTTTACCCCAAATTCATTTTAAAGTTTTCATCTTATCGCTCATTTTTAGTACAAATTTCGGCCAGAATTAAAATCCCAATACTTCATAATTATGGAAAAAGCGCAGTCACTGTATTCACCCATGTTGACCTAATCAGAAGCCAGTTAAGTTTAAACTAATTTCTGATCAAAACAAACAGCTACATCATTAGGCAAAAACTGAAAACAAAGGCTAAAAATGGCAAGAATTCATACTAAGTTCAGTTTTATCTGATTTTAAGCAAAAAAATAGCCTGTGAGATAAGTCTTTAAAGAATAATACGAACAAGAAGCCACATTAACATAAAAATAGCTTCGATTTTACTGTTTCAGAGTTCCTCATATTGGATAAAGTAAACGACACTACTTTCTAGCTTCCTTAAAATAATTGCTTCTTCCTTCCATTGGTAATAAGTGAACATAGAAATAAATGACTTAAATACAGTGACGAAATGGTAATTTGGATACGTGTCGCAACGGCTGCAAGCGCCACTGTTTCAACTATTCGCTCGGTTTTTCTACTGATTCAAATCTGGAAGACGAAAGTTACGGGAACGGGAAAAGACTTCGATATTTACTACGTGCCGTTGCTGGTCATAAACTGCTACGGTTCTCTTGCTTTCTGGCGGATCGCTTTTGATTTTGGCGACAGCGATTCGAACACACAAATACTTAGTGCGAACTGTTACCCCAGTGTGCTTATTTTCGTCGCTTCTACAGTGGGCGCTTGTTACCTTCAGATAGCAATCAACTGGCTTGAAGTAGCGGGTGAGCTCAAATGTTTGACTTATTTTTAAATAATTTTCCAGGGTACAAGTATGATAGTTGGATCACAGGAAAAAGCAAAACTGAAAGATGTCCCGCACTTTTTGTGAAATCTTCAAAAACACAAGTAAACAAATGCGTACCAAGTTTTAATTTCAAGGCCCAAAATCTTTTCTTAAGGGACTTTTTAGGAACCTATAACAGTTCTACTTTCTTCAGAAATCAGCACAAATATTTGTTCCAAAAAGCATTATTTTATCGGAAAAAAAACAATGAAACAATTTACAAAAGAAAACCAAGGACAGCGGGTTACTGTGCAATTAGCACCGAATGTTCCGACCATAGTCTTTAAAATAATACAAAAAAGGAATTTTTTTTTCAAATTAGTGTAGTTTTTTCTTTTTTTCCTGCTTGGTGTAATAAAAGGCTCTGATTTAAAACTAGAAATTAGGCATATTTGACAACCATAGTATTATAGGCAAACTTGACAACACTTTTTGTCGAAAATGACTAGAAAAACAAACAAAAACTTTTTAAAAAACTTTTGAAATTTTTTATTCCTAAAATTGCGCTGAACACTCCAAACACTGATTTTACTTGCGTAAAGAAATTAAGCATAAACAAACTCTTGTGAGCCTGCTTGACCGCTTTGTTTGCTCGAAATTGAACAAAATATCAAAAATTTAAACCCGTTTTTCTCGATACTGGAAAAAAATTTTGAGAAACGTTTTGTCGTTCGAATCACGACTGAAAGGGCTTCAATTTGGTATATCACTCGACAGATTCCGATGATTATTTGTGGTATCTGATTTTGCGTTGAAAAACAAACGAAAATGCAAATAAACTGTTAAACACCAGAAAACAAAGTTCATCCCCATTTTTCAAATGGTCGGAACAACAACTTTGCACACCATATGCCCACGTAAAAAAAATAGCGCGCGAGGCATGATTTCAAAACTAAATACGGATGCAAGTTACACTTTGCAAAAACAAGAAACTAACCGGCAGAGCGCCATTTGCCGTAATCACTTATCTTCTGTTGCTTGGATAACCCAACTTTCATCCTATACTCTATAGGAACAAGACTGCTCGCAGTTTGCCAAAATCCCGATTGTGCCTATTTTGAAATACTGCTCTTTTCTTCAGACTTAGGAAAAGATTAAAACATGTTCACCTAGTTTAATGTCATTGTTGTTTTAGTCAATGGAAAACAGCTCATTCTGAACGTTCGTCACGATAAGATCCTGGGCTTCTTCCTGTTCATCAGTTCGGTCGAAATGACCATCAGTTTCGCTTTTAACCAAATCTACCCTGAGAACGCCTTGAAATGCGAATTCGGACAAATGCTACCGATGAACAACGTACTTGTGTGGAAATCAATGGCATTTTTTGGGGCATCATTCGTAATTTTCATAATCTCCATCATTTCCGCTTACTTCACGCGTTTAGACGTGATCAAGAATAGAGTTCACGTGTCTTCAGATCCCCAAACAGTGAACATTATTAAGGATTTCACACCTTTGCTGAGAGAGTGCTCCTTAGGTGCAGGCCTCTGTTTAACCCATCTGGTAAAAAGATCTTCCCTTCTTATGACTACCGATATCGAAACATTGGAGCTAGTTAACTACTGTTCATTTATAATTATGTTCTTAACTTTCACTTGCTATCGATTTTAGCTGCCACGAAATCAAACAAAGTGGAAAAAGAAGACTTATATACAAACGAAAAGATCCAAAAGAAAGGTTGCGCTACGTCAAACTTCATTTTTTGATGTCTAAATGCTGCCTTTTGTGTAAAAACCATATCTATTTTGCTAATTAGTTAGTATTATGATTGTTCCGAACACAAACTGCAAGGTAACTCTCGCTTCAAGGGTGGTAATTTCTTTCAACGCAAAAATCAGGTCATTTGAGGTCGTCGAGTCTGATTCTCATTGAAGCCTCTTAAAATGCAAATCAATCAAAATTTGAAAACTTCCAATTCTCTTTTTTTATTACAAGTTTGCGGAACTTTGATTGGAAAAAGTAACTCTTTCTTTGCCACACACATGAAACGGTTATTCTTGTAGTTCCAATTTTTGAAGAAAATGAGGAATACTTATGATTGAGATGATTTTTTTATTCAGTCAAAATTCGACTATTTTGACCAATTTCGAAAAAATAACGCGAAATAAGTTGCGTTCGCTTAACACGGGTAAGCGGCGGGTTGAATTGATCTAAATTGAGTTTAGGCAAGTCATGCGCGCTTATTACACAGGGAGGGGAAGATGCGCTTCGCAAACACTAGCGAGAAAACGTCAAAAAAGCAGCAGCTCTATAAAAAAAAGTAAAAATAAGCCTTGAAAAATAATATTTTTCTGTGGTGGTTTAGATCCTACGACCAGAATATTTCGAGTCCCCTGTCCACGCATTTGCGCTACGATCCTTTGACAATTTCCTAAGACTAGCGACAAATAAAGCAGCTACACATGCTAAGAAATTGCCAATGCTATGAGCAAAAGTGGCACCAGATATAAATAGACAATTTTCTAGGTACTAAATAGGAATATACTAAGCTAAAGGCGTCCGCACTAATTTTGCGTGTAAAAAATTTAAAAGCATGAAGCCAAATTATGAAAAATTATGGATTTCAAAAGGCCCGATATATTAAGTAGGAACATTTCTGAAATGGAATCTTTATTATTGCACACTTTTTTGAAACAAACAACTTATTCGGTTCATGTGATGAATCAAAAATGCATCAACTGAGTTTAGTCATCACTTATCGAATGTCCAAGTACATGCAACCAAATACTTCAAATGTGTCCCGAAAGTCGCTTCAATATTTGCGACTATGTTTGGAAAAAAAAGGTCTTACAAATACACTTCGTCAAAACTCGGAGATGTTGTTAGAACAATAGACGCATAAAACATCCCTTAGTTTTTTAACATAGCAGGGGATGATGAATACAAATTTCGTTTGAAAACTTTCTTCCAAAAAGTTTTTAGTTTGCCTAAAAATTTAATCAAAACATACAAAGTTTCTTCTTATATACAAGCAGCCTTGTTTTTTCTGTTCAACTTTCGACGAAAGTGAAAGATTATTTGTGCTCGGGATGGTTTTTACTCCAGAAAATTTTCGAATTTTTATATAGCAATTTTGATCGATTGTTTTTATCATTTAAAAGGTATTGTTGTGTTCGGCCCAAACTTGAAAACATATATTTCACTTCACTTGTGATCATTTTTTGTACAATTATGGTCGTTTAAAGATAGCCAGTTTGGCCAATTGGGGACAACTAACGCCCGATATATTTCATGCTATCAACGCGTAAGCGCTGGATAAATTCGTCTTAGAAATTGCTCCGAATTAAATTGAGGCATGCAAGTTGGTCTTTTTACTCTTTTGCTATATGCGAAGTATATCACTGTAATCAATTTATAAATGAAATTGATCCTACCTGATTGACCGTTCACGTGAGCTAGACAAATACGATTTCGATTTACTTGTTTTCTTTTTAGGGTTGTTAAGCATCCTAAAAAGCTGTTGATGTGAAGTACTAATTTCTTTTCACCCGCTTCATACAAAAAACGGGAAGTTTTTATTGCATTAGTGCTGTTCAATAAAATTTCTCCTTTGTTAATGACACTTGAGTAATCAGAAGTACTCAGCGTCAGGCTTGGCGATAATTAACAAAAGGTTACATACAAAGCCAACTATTATTCGATTAGGAAGGAGAAGCCGTGAATTTCATTCAGAACAAACTATTCGCCCGAAAATTGAATTTTTTAAATGAAGTTTCTTCTTTAAATAGATCATTTAGACAACCAAAAAATATTGCTTAGAAAATCTTAACTTAAAATGGGCACAGAGGAGATTGAATAATTTTTATGAGACAAATTTTAATACGAAGAAAAATACCAAAAAAAAACATTGAATGAAAGATCTCTATTAATCACATTAATGATTTACTTGCCTATTCTAAAATGAAACAAACATACAAATGATTTCACAACGTGAAATCCGAGAAGCGATGCCCGCCAAAAAAGACGAAAGATGTTTACGCAAAAAATTAACTTTACGCGGGCTTCAAGACATCTCATTAGAAACAAAAAGAAATCAGGCAGTTAGTTTAGTGCTCACATTTGAAGTTTGCGCACCTCAATGATGACAATCATGCAAGCAATCAGATTACTGCAAAATTATTAAATGTGTAAATCTAGCCATCTTAATGTCTTATTGCTTTATTTAACCAGAACGAGAATTTAACCAGAACCATTTGTATTATAATTATAACACACTAATGGGAAAATCAGTGTTTGTTTTTTTTTAATTTGCGCTTCAATATCTTTGGTATCTGCTCCATTTTAAACCGGTGAAAATAAGAACTTACCTCAAACTAATAGTACTGGAAACGATTCCGGCAATCATCGAACACCCTGGAATCTTGTTCAGGCATGAGACCTACATCTCTCTACCCAAATCGTAGCTTACACGCGTAACTTTATTTTTTTTATGCCGGATGTTGCTTTTTCGACCAAAGGACAGCTTTAAAAACCCTTTTCTAATTTCTCCGTAAAATAGTAATGATTCTTATTATCATAGAGCAAGAAATTCAGAAATTATTCAATATCATGTGCTACAGCTGCTATCACGTTATGTAATAAAAATTTGGGAAACATGTTTGTTTGAGAACCATCTAATTAATTTTATTCAATTTGACTTTTGACAAGACTACTGATTGAGTCCTGCAATACACATTAATGAGCTTGGTGAAATATATTAGCAATAGCAAATAAAAACTTCCCATCTCCCAAAAACTTTTAAAGATGGTGTTTTCCAGAAAATAAGTAGCACCAGTTTCTCATAAATTATCACGATGCCAATGCAATATTTTCAAAAGCTTTCAATTAGGAGTTAAATTATTCTTAAAATGAAACATCAAAAATAAATAGCTGATTATTGGAATAGTCGGCTTCGACTACACTTTTAATAGCAAAAAACTTTATTTTTGGTCGTTTTCTACGGTAGCGTTACAAATAGATTGTGATTCAAAACACAGAAGAATACACAAAAAAAGCAAAGTGCAAGAGCTCCAAAATGCAACCAAAATCGAGTTATACAGAAAGTGAACTAAAATTATCAATTTAATTTTCGTTTGGAAATAGTAACTTGTAAAAGTATTTGACTGACCATTAACTGGACAATTTTTTAATCCGAAATTCGAAAAAATGACCGGAAAATAAGACATTAACTCTTAAAATACAAATTAACTCCACGGTGGCTTTAGGAAGACAATTAATTAAACACAGAGGCGAAGCTGCGCTTCGCAAACCCTAGCTAGAACACGACAAAAGGAGCTCTGTAAAAGGAAAAAGTAAACAAGCCTCGAATCAGTAAAAAATTGGCTGATTCTCGCATTCCAACCTACGACCTACTGCGACCAATAGATTATAGATAAGAAAGTCTCACGCACTAACCACTCAGGCACGGACGCTTGATTCATGACAAACACTAGCCACAAATAGACGAGTATGTTTTTGCCCTTTCACACATAGGCTTTCACGACCAGGCATGAATGAAAAATGAATATTAGAACGCATGAAAGAAAAAAGAAATCATTTGCATAGTTCGCGCACTTTTCCGGGCTCTTTCACAATTTTCTAGCATCTTTCCCTCAGAAAGAGCAAAAACATACTTTTCAACAGTTAGAACATAGTTGAATATGGCCTCTTTTTCCCTCGAATATCTTTCAACTCTGTTCTAAGTACTACAAAGCCGAGAACAGATGCTATGCAAACTCCATTAAGACAATGAAAATTCCAAATAAGTGAACACTTTTAATGAACACTTTTATTTGCCAATTAGGTTAGAAAAAAGAAGGTTCGTAATAATACACTAAGCTGATCGCAAGTGTAACCCAGAGGCAAAGCTGAACTTATGTAGAACAATTTATGATGGACAATTTTTTTTAATATTAGAGAAAACTGGATAAATAGCTGAAACTTTTATTTCGCTGGCAAATCTGATGATCAATTTCCATTTTCAAAATTAGCAAGTCGATCACGTTTTTCATGATTTTTACACTTCTGTTGTTCGATAGTGGAGCTTGCTAAAAGCGAAAAATCAAAATTGAGCGTGAATGAAATTCAACACTTTTTCTCGGAAAAAAAACCAACAAAATCACCAAAATCTTTATAAGACTACTCACTAGCTTCATTACTCTTAATAAGTTACCACTTATTCAATTCCTTTATTTTCAAATGCTTTTAAAAATTAAGTTTTTTTTTCTTTGCTGGTTTTTTTTCTTTTTAATTTCTGGAATCTCAAGTCCGAGCTTGAGACCCTACCACTACATAGATCTATACGTGTTATGTTACTCAACATGAGCTAAATCATTTGTTTATACCGGATGTATTTTTTCAGCCCTAAAAGATCTGTAAAAACTGGTTTCGATGTTTGATTTTGTATTTGAGTACTTCTTTTATTTATCAAAGGGTAAAATTATCAATTACGTTTCAAACTCAGGGGCTAGATCTGCAATTGAACTTTGTGATTATCTTATAGGAAACCCAGGTATTTTGAACAAATCTAATTGAATTTATCCAAACTGATCTGAGGCAAGACTACTGCTTAAACTTTTTAATTGAGAGTTATGAGAAGTTTAGGTTTTTAGGAAATTAACCAATTACTCATTTCTTAACATAGCCAACTGACAGTTACAAAATAGTAATAAACACAAGGAAACAAAAAAAAACTGACTTCTTGTTTCGAAAATCTTTTGAATTCGAAGAATATGGCTTTAAAACACTTTGAATATGTAGAAGAATTTATGACAGACACTTTTTGTTAAAATTAGAGAAAACTGGATCAATAGCTAAAACTTTTATTTCGCTGGGAAATCTGATAATTAATTTCCATTTTCAAAATTCAGAAGTCGATCACGTTTTTCGTGATCTTAACATTTTTCCTGCTCGATAGTGGAGTTTGCTTTCCTTTTAGAGAAATGCATTGAACTTTAGAAAATCACAAGTCAAACTGCGAAAAATCAGAATTGAGCGTGAACAAATTTTAACTTTCTCCTGAAAAAAAAATCACCAAGACCTAAATAAGATTTCATTCCTCTTAATAACTTACCACTAATTCAATTCCCCTATTTTCGAATGCTTTGAATATTGAATAAAACGCTTCTGAAATTGAAACAAGAAGCCCATTATTGAAGCAGTAGGTTCCGATCACAGTATTAATTGCAAAAAAACATACCTTCTTTTTTTGATATTTTTTTTCACTTTTTCCATGGTAACAATAAGAAATGAATTAAGAGTGAAGTTACAGATGCAAAGCTGCACTTCAAATACAAACTAACTAAACGGATTTTCAAACTTTTTGAAATTTTGACTACCTTTTTTTTAGGTCGACAAAACTGGTTTTCCGAGCTCTCCCAAAGCACTAAAAAGTCCCTGTTTTGGCCACATTTTAGGGTCCGTCAGCCAAAAATGCATTTCTGAAAATATTTCAAAGGGGGGGCACATCTGAAAAAAATAGATTAATAATTAATCAGGTTTTTCAACTTCTACTAAATAATTTTTTCATTTCATAGGTCAACCTAATGAAACTAATTTTGATTAAGCTTAGATTTATTAAATTTAAGTTGCTTTTAATCATCATGTCAGATCTGCGCAGTATAACTTTCGGAGCGCTTAAAAAATTCATAATTAGAGTGCAGCTTTCTCTTTTAAAGCTTTTAATGCTACCTGCTTTTAATGAGCTGTACTGATGATTACTCTTAATGCTTCAATTGAAAAATGAAACTTCAACTCTTTTAATCAATTCTATTCTTATTGATATTATACCTGCGAATTGCAACTATACAAACTTAAAGATATTAACAAGCATGCTAACAATTTAATGTACATATAATATATATTTACATCTTTTTAGTTTTTCAAATAAAAACTATTTTCGAGCCGTAAATAACTTAAACACACCTTCAACATCATTAAAATAAATTAGTTTTTAGTTATTTAATCTAGTCACATGACAGCAGCGGCCACCAACACAGCACATATTGATTCCTAGCACTAATCACTAGCATTCCCTGATGCACTAATCCGATCGTAAACCACAGACAAATACGAACGAGGACATTCACAAAGATTGCATGCAAAAGACTGCAGTCAAGTAGGTTAATCGTGTGCACTTTAGCTGTCTGGGTTAGCCAATTTAAGGTCAAATCAATCCATGCAGTCTTTGTTAGTAGTAGTATCAATCGGTTAGTTGAAACAGTGCTGAAAGATTAAGAAAATGATAGTTTACAGTTGAACCGAGTGCGTAAAGATCAACATTACTCAAAACCCAATGTTGTTCTTCATTTTGGATGATTCTAAAACCCATTATTCTCCTATATTTCGCTACATGAAAATTTGCCGATTAACGGCTTAATTAAACAGAAAAGAGGGGAAATTTAAGAAAGTAAGACCGAATTATTAAAAAGAACAAAATTGAAGGTAGTCAGTCAATCAGAACTCAGTGATGTGGACCCAGTTAACATCCTCCTCCTCAAAGCCGTTTAGGAGGGATGATGTAAACTTGGTTCTGAGTTCGAATCTTCAGCCAATCAGAATAAAGCATTTTGCACGGAGCGCTTGGCAAATTAAATTTAAATTGAACGCTGGTGCGGAGGATTTTAGCTTGATCCAATTGAGGGGAGGGGGGATGTTAACTTGTTACGAGAAAAATCTTCTGTACGAGAAAAATCGCACCCAAAAAGTCTTGAAACTACAGAGAGTGAAGAAAAAAAAGAAAGCTAGAAAGAAAAGATAGATTACAAGTCTGTCTCCTCCTGCCGCCGCTGCCACTGCTGCACACGTAGATACCGTCGGGGGGTCCTGCGATCTGAAAAGTGATTTCTTCACAGGCGCAGTCGGGTGATTCACATTGCTAGGAGTAGACGTTCTGTTAGAAGGATAAGAAGACTGGTTAGAATAAAGCTAAAACAGCACAAGAAAATCAGACTAGCTAGAAAATCAGAAAGAGAACACTAAATAAATTAGGAAATGTGATTTAAAAGGGCACCAGAAAGATTAAGTCAGTTGAAAGATTAAAAATTTTGAGTCCGTTATTTCTTTCAGTTAATTTTTCAAAACAATGGAAATGGAAATACCATTTCAGTTTAAGCGATGAAGTCATGTTTTTGCAATCATACACATAATTCAATGTTTGGACATGTAGAGTGATAGCAACTTTCGCGACACGAAACTGCAAAGCATGGGAATGCGAAGTTATGAAATGTGCACGCTTGTAAGAATATAAACCTTTATTTTAAAAAAAAACAAACAATGTGACATCTCCCACTTTTTTGAGACAACAGGATCGAAACTGTTACTTAACTCTGGACAAAAAACAACAGAATTAGTCAGAACAAACAAGTGCTGCTTCACCTAACTTCGAAAATCAATTCAAAAGGCAAATTTGAAATTTATACCGTTAAATAAGCATAATGACCAAAATAACATAAGACAACATCATTATCCAGAACGCATTTATTGGACTAATTTAGACTGACCTTTTCGTTCTCGGCGATGTTTTCATGTTGCAGCCGCATGATGTCTTTGGTCCTCTGTTCCAACTTGTCGTTCAACTCGTGGTTCTCCTTCCTGCTACTCATCAGCTGACTCCTCACTTCATTCAATGTGGCCTCCAGTTGGGAGTTGGTGCTCCTCAGGGCACTGATCTCAGCCTCCGCCGCCAACACTCTGTTCTCCAGGTTATTCTGACTGTGCTGCAACAAACAATGCACTGTTCGTATCGAATCATTATTAAACCAAAATTAGAACGCGACTGATTCAAGTCAATTTTTACTAGCACTTTTGACTCAACGAAAAAAGGCATCACTCAGAATCACTTTGAAATTCAAAAATCCTTTATTATGAAAATTTTGGTAGACCTATTCCAGTTTAAGAAAACTAAATCAATATGTATTTATTTATTCCGCTGGTTGCTCTCAAAGTTAGTACATACTTTTGAAAATTCCTTTTTCTACGCAATTTATACCCTCAACTTCTTTCCAGAACCTCATTGAATCTAATTTATAAAAATCTATTTACAAAGGCCTTTTTCCACAGGCCTAAAAACACATTGCGCTACAAAATAGTGAACAAAAAAAACAAGTATAAAAAAATTCTGTAAAATTATTTTGGAAAAAAATTACTTCAAAAAATAACTTGACAGTAGTTGAAAAATTACAGCAACAAAAACTTCATATTTGTATAAGATGAAGCTCACAAACAGCCTTTAAAATGGAAATCATTTACTGAGCGGCAAAAAAACTTTGGGTCGAAACCTGTTGAGCCGAAAACAAAACTGTTGTCATAAAAAATTTCATCAAAATTTAAAGTTTTTACGACCCATCCAAACTGAGACACAAAATCCGAAACAGTTTGAATATTTAAAAAAAGCCAAAAAAAAGAAAAAACTCAATATCAGACATGGTAAAGTTACAAATTTGTGAAGTTTCAGTTCTGATAAAAACAATGTAAATTGAAACAAAACCCACGCTTTAAAAAGTTATAAATAGAAACCCTACTAGATAAAAATGGCGTTCAAAAAATGAAAAATGAACCGATAGAAACTAGGACGAAAACCAGGAACCCAAAACAAATGAGAATATTTTTGTAAAAGATAATTACAGCCTGAAACGGGCTTGAACTAATTACTAGCTAACTGATAGGTTTTTTTTGTTTGAATTTTCAAAAATCTCAAGTGAAGATCTGCATAAACAAATGATTAAATTATTACAAAATTTTTTATCCTGAAAAAAAATAGCCAAAGAATACACCTGTATAAACGAAGCCAACGAATAAGTTGAAAAATGAACGCAAGGAAACAACAACATACTGACTTTTTTTCGAAAAATAAAAGTAACTTTCGAAATTCAAAATATATATATATATATATATATATATATATATATATATATATATCCCAAACGCTCTTAAAAACTCAGGAACAACGATAACAATGATTGGAGCTTTTTTGATAAAATCAACCCAAATTGAGACACAGAGGCGCAGCTACGCCTCGCAAACATTAGCGAGAACACAAAAAGGAGCTCTTGAGTTCTAATTAGTAAAAATTCGGCGACGTCTCGGACTCGAACCTACTGCAACCTTGAAATTATGAGTCTCACGCACTTAACGAGTCAGCCACGGAAGCTTAGTCGATAATAAAAACTAGCCACAAACAAAGCCGAGAACATGCTATGAAATTTCCAATGCTACAGATCGTGATTATAGCAAAAAGACACAAAAGTGAACGCTTAATGAACACTTTTATTTGCAAGTTAGGTTAGAAAAAGCGTTCACACTAAACCACTAGCTGCTCACTATCGTAAAACTGGATCAAAAGATTAAATTTATTATTTCGCTGGGAAATCTTAAAATTAAATTCCCTTTTCGAGATTAGAAGTCGATCACGTTTTTTGTGACCTTTACTTTTTTGCTGTTCGATAGTGAAGTTTGCCTTCCTTTGGACGAAGAAAAAACTGAACTGAACATGAAATGAGGCTGAACAATTTTTAAGACTTTTCCTGAACAAAATAATCATAATAATAATAATTTTCACTACGTTCATTACTCTCAATTAATATATAAGCAACTTCATATTGTGCTTGTACGAGGGGATGGAAAACTGGAAAAAGCATACATTTATTTTCAGAGATCGTAACTTTCAAAGCCAAGAACCAGTTGGACAAGTGTCAACGAACGCAAAAAGACTGAACAAAAAATTTCACATTTTTTGTACCGTTTTTCGAAATTTCGAGTATCAAAAAAAAACAGATGGCTTTTTGAAGCTGTTTTGAATTTCAAGAACAATTTGAAATGAAATTTAAAGCTCTTTGAAATTCAGGAACAATTTATGATAGACACTTTGTTTGATAAAATTAACCCACTTTGAAGAAAGTGGATCAAAAATAGTAAAAGACTTGTATTACTCAAAAACATCAAAAGTCAAACGGTCAAAACACATAACTGATTGTGAACAAATCTCGAGAACTGTTCTTGAAAAACAAAACAGAAAAAGTCACGACCAGAATACGCTTCAATAAATTCAGAAACATTTGAATTAGTTTTTTAATTTCCATAATTTGGACGCTCAGGCCTTAAAATTTCTCATTTGATTTACAATAAGCTTAGACAACAGTAAATAAACACAAAATTAATCTATTTACTTTCAGATATTAATCTGATTTCCATGTAGGAGAAATCAAAACAAATCGCACGTATACCAATATCCATCAGATCCATTATTATTCCGGCCCGAGGGATGAGAGAAAACAATAGCCTGATTTCTCCCGATCAGAATCTCAAAGAAAGCCCGTATGTCATCTAATGCGGTATAATATTTTCAAGCATTTAAGTCAGATTTTACAAAAATCAAAAAAGGCATTTTAAAATCATGTGAAACTGGTCTGGAAAATTTACTATTCAGAATTAGACTTTGGGAAAAGCTGATGAAACTAAGTACTCATTACAAGACCCACTATTAACACAGAGGCGGAGCTGGGCTGCAAACTAGTAGAGATCCCATTTTTCACAGTAATCAAGAGGAAACAAAAAACCTTCCAATTTCACAGTAAAATATATGACCTTAAAACTTTTTAAAATTAAAGAAGATTTTGATTGACACTTTTGATAAAATTGACTCACTTCGAGAGAACCGTTTCAATAACTGAAGTTTTTAATCCGTGAAATATCTGAAAAAAAAAACAAATCCTCTTCTGAAACTACAATTCCGTCACGTTTATCGTGAAAAGGCAAACCAAGGAAAATCAAATTGAAACGTGATTAAATTTAAGACGTTTTCTGTAAGAAAAACCATCACGACCAATATAAGAGTCTCTACTGCGTTCATCGACTCTTGAAAATGAACGACTATGATTGAAAGCAAAAAAGAATCCAAAAAATTGGGGAAAAAATTCAAAAAACGTTTTTTTTTTCGAAAAAAAACTTTAAAAATGCAAAGCCCGAAAAATTTCGGAACAAAGGTAGTTGCAAATTTCGAAACTAAACGAGGAGCTTTTAGAAAGGGAAAGCTAGAAAGAAGCCACCTCTTCGAAAAACGAATTTTCTGTGCGAACCAAGCCAACAAAATAGGCAGACAGACGATAGTCTAATTAGCTTAAAATTTTCAGTTTGCAAAAAAAACATGGTCAAAGAGACAAGGAACGCAAGAAAACAGGAAATAAGACTTGTTTTTTGAAGAAAAAACTTCAACTTTTGAATTTCAAAGAAAAATTTTCAATACTCGTATTTTTTATTCCGCCGTGAAATCTGAAAATTAAAATCCATTTTTGAAATTAGAAGTCAATCACGTTTTCCGTGATCCTTGGACTATTGCTATTCGATAGAGGAGTTTGTCTTCCTTTCAACAAGGGAAACAAAGAAGTGAACTTAAAACAAATCAGAAGTCAAACCGCGAAAATCAAAATTGAGCGTAAACAAATTTTGACCAAATTTTGAACAAGTCTTTCCCTAAGAAAAACAAAAAAAGCATCACGACCTCACGAAAAGTTTGAGCCACTTCATCGACCATTAAACAGTTCCAGACTGGAATCGAACTCCTAGGGTTTACCGTCTAAACCATTGGTGGGTGTTACCACTGCGCCAAATGCTCATTGAATTAGAAATCATAATAGAGCACGAAAAACACGTGTAACATTTTCACGTGCTAAGTCTAAGAAAAAAGTGACTTACGGGGGGAAAGACTAGTACCAGGTTGCAACACCCTGCTTAAAGCAACAGTAATAACTTCCATTAACTAAAATGCTGATTTATCTACTTTAAAAGCATACTATATTAAGGGGAATTATAAATCTTTTAGCTAAGATAAAAGTAGTAGGAATATTCCGCTCTACTTGCAGTGGCGAACTTTGGTTTATTGACACTTTAATAGAAATTTTGTAGGCAGTATAAATTTTTTGGCGAAAACGCAAGAAAAAATAATCTAAATCTACAAGATGTGGGTCTGAATTTTTAGTCGGACTTGTTACGGATGTTTATTTTGTATATCCCTGAAAAATAGCACACTGAGCACACTGACCTTGAGTTTTTCGCTCTCTATCTTGGTAAGTTTGAGCATGGTGTCCTTCTCCTGTACACTCTGTCCCAGTTTGTCCACAGAATGTCTGGCACTGGCCTCTATCTGCTCAGCTGTGGCCTCCACCTACAAAACACAACAGTTATTTCCTTTTAGTCGTATTATTGTTCCAACCACTCAACTGTCAGACATAGATCTCTGATCGGAGGACCAAGTGTTCTTTTCTCTAGTAGTTACTCACTTCGCTGAGTCGGCTGAGCAAGTGTGCGTTCTCCGCCTCCAACTGTCCCTTCTCTTTGCTGACCTTGACCAACTTCGTCTTCAGCTGGTCGATGGCCGAGTGCAGCTCCAGCGCCTGCGACTCCTACCACAACACACACACACAAATAAAAAATAACAAAACAAACAAGGGTGGCCGGAAGATAGACTACAGATAGAACTTAGTGAAAAATATCTAACAAAAGTACGACGAAAGAATATCGTACGGCGATAGATAACTATAGTAGGCCGCAAAAAATGCCAAAGCAATTTCGGATAGCAACTCTACATTGTTCAACTAAATGTAGTTTAGAATCTGCAGCAAGAATATGTGGACCAAAGTAATACGAAAACTTTAAGATTTCGTATCCGATCACAGTAGTGGCGGAACTTTTTTTTTTACAAAATGCACACAATTATCATCCAAAGCCCCTCGGAGTCTCGTTTTTCAAATAAAACTTGAAAATGATAACTTTTAAGATAAAATTTGATTTTGATTTCGTCTAAGATCGTTGAAATTCGTCTAACGTTAAACCCTATCCATCAGAACAATTTCTTTTTCATTGATTAAAACTGTCGTTTTAAAAGAAAATTTTTATCGAAAAAAACCTTATCGCGCATATATTTACAACAGAACTAATCACAACAATACGATAAAAGAATCTCAGATTAGAAAGGCAGACAGATTTGAGAGATCGATTTAACCCAATATCACAGTCGATGTGCAGTCAGTCAGTGATGTCCAATTTAACCATTTATTATTTCATAGTTTCTCCACGCATATTATAATTTACAGGCAGTCCCTGATTGTTTTGGCGATACTTTCGGTTAATAAAACCATCAAAAACGCCTTAAGAAAAACAATCAGAATTTTTATAATCAGTTTCTCAGTGTTCAATCAAAATTGTTGAAATCAATTTGGCTCAAAAAAAACTATTCTGCTTTCTGGCTAAAAGCCTTTTCAACATTTCCAATTGGACATCACTACCACTGTAAGGAGGTTGACCTTGACCTTGAGAGAGACTTGACCTTGGATGCTAACTGCGAGGCGACTGAATGGACAGTATGGCCTGTATGTTCCACTTGTTCCCTCTGTGAGTTCAACTGCTTCAGCATTATGCTGTGCTGTTTAGCCGCCTCTTTCTATTTTCACCGTCAGAAACCATTAAAAACTTCATTCGTCACTTTGCAAAAAAAAACACTAAATTAGGGACACAGAGCCGAAACTTGTCATCTTTTTTAAATCAAGTCAAACTTTGACTTCTCCAACCCAATACTTGCAATTTGAGCACTCATGTGTGCGTAGAAGATTACAGATTGAACAAACTCCTCCAAAGCTTACGACAGAAAAGATATGGAAGGATAAATGAAAAAATTACGATATTTCTTTCATTTAAATTTTTTTTTACACAACTCAACATAGACACAGAACAATAGGCTCTTGACAAAGACACGCTCGGGTAAAACTTACAAATGAACATTAAGAAATAACCATATTAAAAACAAGTCTAAAAAACTCATACCAAAGATTATTACTAAAGAAAAAATTTAGTGAAAAACAAAGGCCACATTTCAACGGCGATTACAACAAGGATAGCCAGTTGCCGCATAATCAGCACAATTGTTCCCACATACTCTTTAAAAAATACATTTTTTTTAAATTAGCGTAGTTTTTCATGCAAGGTGTGATAAAAGGATCAGATGAAAGCCTAGAACTTACGCATAATCGACAGTCACAGTAAAACAGCCTAATTTGGCAACAGGTTTTGGCAAAAAATGAAGGAAAAACAAACCAAAAATTTTCAAAATATTTATAAATTTCTTTCATTTTTTGCAGACTTTTTTTGAATTTTGAAAGATTTAATGCCGAAGACGGCACCAAAAAACTTCGATCTTATAACAAGCCTGCTCGCTCGTTTTACTCGCTCGAAATTGTATTGAAATTCAAAAATTTCAAACAGGCTTTCCTGAACACTGGTACAAAGTTTTTAAACATTGTTCGAATCAGGACCGAAGGGGTTTTAATATGATATAACACTCAAACTGAAAAATTGAGCAAACTACTTTTGGTTGAAAAACAAAAATAAAGCCAACTGACAGTTGGAAAAGAGTAATGAATGCAGGGAATAGAAAAAACATATATTTTTTTGTTTAAACAAAACTTCAACTTTCGAATTTCAAAGAAAAAAATATATACATTTAAGCTCTTTGAATTTCAAGAGAAATTTTATATTTTGGCGCTTTTTTATAAAATTAACCCAACTTCCAAAAACTGGATCAAAAGAAAAAATTTTAAATCCGCTGGGAAATCTGACACAGGCGAAGCCGTTTTTGCAAGAAAACGGCTAAAAGCAGCTCTATAAAGTTCAATAACAAAAATTGGAAGTGATCCTCGAATTAGCAAAAATTCGTCTACCTCTGAGATTCGAACCTGCGACCTAGCGATTGAGGGTCTCACACACTAACCACTAACCCACGAAATCTTAATAGGTACCATTAACCACTCAAAAATAAAAGCAGAGACTCATAAATAAAGCAGAGAAAACGCGAGAAAAGCTTAATAGGTACCATTAACCACTCATAAATTAACCAAGCAGATACACAAATAAAGCACATAACAGATGCTACATTGAAATTTCCAAATAAGTGACATTATTAATGAACACTTATATTTGGGAGTTAGGTTAGATGAAGAAATTGCGTAATAACACACTAAGCTGATCGCAAGTGTAAATATTTAAGTCCATTTTTGAAATTGGAAGTCGATCAAATTTTTTGTGACCTTCACACTTTTGCTGTTCGATATTGAAGTTTCTTTTAACAAATAAAATCAACTCAACTTGAAAAAAAAAATCAAAGCGCAAAAAATCTCAATTCACGGAAAACAATTTTCTCACATGCGATACAACACAAACAAAACATTAGAAGTCGAAAAATGTTGAAAAAAGGTTGATATAGAAAAATTAGAAAAAAAATGTTCTTATGTTTTGATAAACCATAACTAGGGACCCAGTTAAAAATAAAGAAGGTACATGTTTTATCTTTTTTCAGTAGTTGTACTGATGCAGGATAAACTGGGTAAATTAGGATAAACTGGGTAAATTCAAAAACTGGACTTCGCTCAAACCTTAGAACAGTAAAATACTTTGAAGAGGTAACATTTTCCAGAAAAAAAATTAAAGAGTCACCTATTCAGCGCAAAACAATCTCGTAACCAGTTGTTTCGATTGTATCCTTCATCTCAGATTAGATCGGATAGTTTTTGAGAAATGTCAAAAAGTATCTACAAAAAAGGTCGAAAGATTTTAAAAATTTGGCTTTCCAAAATCCATAGTTTTTTTCAGCAAACGGTAGGTCGTGGCCGCTTAAGCCGAGAAAAATCTTACAACTCGGTTGTTTGTGAACAGGTAACCTGAGAAATGGCAGGGTTGTTTTCAAGAAGTCAAAGTTTCCAGAAAACTGTGAAAGCTTCAAAAGTCCAAAAAAATTTTTTTATTATAATGGTAGGCTTTTAACAAGCTGTTGTTTTGATTAAATCCTTGATATCTCAATTGGCACGCTAGTTATTGCGAAACCTTAAGAAAAAAATAACAAAAAACGGTCAACAAATCAAAAAATTGACTTTTCCGCGAATCATAGCTTTTTTTTGAATTAAGAACTTTGGCATAGTCGCTTAAGCAGGAGATATTCACGTAACATTTAACTTCGATTGAACCGAAAAACTCAGCTGTGGTGGGGTATCTTTTTTAAAAGAAAAGTCGTTTAAAAAAAGGTAAAAACTTGACTTTTCCGAGGGCCATTACAATTTGTGTAAAAAAATTTGCGCGTAGTCGAGTATGCAAAGAAGCTTCCCACAACATGTTCCTGCGATTGAACCCAAAACTCGGATTTTGGAGGGTTATTTTTGACTACGGTACTACAACTGTCCCGGACGTTTGGTTCTTAGCGAATGCATTGCACCCAAAACATGCAGGGAAAAGGTACTCAAGAATACAGTGGAGGGATGCACAGCAATAAATACGAGATGAATCGCCTCTTGTGATACTCTAGAGCGTCAATTCGAAGAGTCTCCGGGATGCAAGATTAAAAATTTCCTGAGAACACTAAAAAACAGATGTCATGAAAATCGACTTGGCTGACCTTGCGATTAAATTTATGTCCCATGTTTGGAGTCCAGCTCGCGTGGAATTAGTTCTTTCGTTAATGGAATTCACACACACCGATCTCCGAAACCGATAGGGAATCGAAAAAGTGTCAAAGCTTGCCTTGTTTGAGAGCATTAAATGACTCAAAAAAACTTTGAAAACTTTGATTTTCTACACATTTAAAAAATATTTTAAACGTTTAAAAAGTTTTTAATCAATTTAAAACACTTTCGAGGCCACCCTGAACTGGTTTTTTCGCATCAAGTTAATTAAAACAGCAATACTTGACTATGAATAGGTTTGTCTTTGACTGAACCTAATTTGAATGAATTCGCGTCTGTAGATAGATTTTTGTCGATTGAAAACTGAATTAGCACTGAAAGATGCTAGTAGATAACTGAATCAAAATTTCAGTTTACAATTTTTGGGCTTTTTATTAGAATTGCCAGTAAATGCGTTTAATTAGTCTGAAAGGCGCACTTCAAGTGTCCAATTCAGTTAGGGAAGACTTTCATTATCAAATAAGGTAGATGGCATAGTTTGTTTATACATGGAGGCGAAGCGGAGTTGCATTACTTACCTTGCAACGCGAGCATAGCATTGCAAGCAAGGGAACAGAAACCGAAACAACCAATTCGATAAAATTGTTGAAAAAGAAATGTTTTGGAATAAAAGACAGATTCAATTCCAGAAAACAATTTCAATTCCAAAAAATTTTATACAGAAGCGAAGCTTCTCAAACAACATCGAGAACACGACAAAAAGCAGCTCTATAAGTGCAATAAACATTAGAAATCAGCCTCGAATTAGTAAAAATGACACTAAGTCTAGGATTCGATCTGCGACATAATACAACCTAGAGATTATGAGTCTCACGCGCTAATCACTCAGCCACGCACGCTTAATACATCACAGACACTAGCCACAAATAAAGCAGAGAGCAGCAGCTATAAAACTTCCAATGCTTGATCGTGATTATAGCAAAAGTGCCACCAAATAAGTGAACACTTTTATTTGCGAGTTAGCTTAGAAAAAAAAGAGGCTTTGTGCTAATACACTAGCTGCTCGCTAGTGTAAATAAGTTTCAGCCAACAATAAGTAGGTGGACGACAGTTGAGCTTAAAAGAGAAAAAAAGCCTTAAGAAACTGTCGTCAATAAAAAAACTTTGAATTTTTGTACCACAACCGACATGAAGAAAATGAACATAACCAATTTTTGCGTTTCAAACGACACAAAAAAGTAACTAAGCCGCCACAAAAAAGTGACACAAAATACTAAGCCTATTAAACCAAAACCATGAAGGCCGAATGACACTTTCAAGTAATAAAAAAACATGAAGGAAAAATATGCAAAATTTTAAATAACAGATATGAAAAAAAACTGGCAATAACAAGATAAAATCGTGATGTGTCCGAAAAAACATAAGCAGACAAGCATTAGCCCGACAATGCAAATTTCCCCAGAAAAATAATCAGTTTCATATATAATGAAAAAGAAATAAGGTACGAACGCCAGACCTTAGAATGCTCTCGCAAGCTAATTTTTTTTGAAGAACCTCCTGAAGTCATTCAATATACCTACAAGCATATAGATATTGAATATTCTTAATTGAAACTGATGCTGAGCAACTCTTCGACAAACCGACATTTCAAGGCTTTAAGAACAAACTATAAGGAGTTTAAGAACAAGTTAAATCCAAAATAACTCTTATTTGCAAAATCGAATAATAAAAAAAAATTTCTCCCAAACTTCAAAGCTATTGATTCAGCAGTTTTCACGCCAAATTTAAACGGAAATTGCCAAAACCACAATTATACGGATAAAAAGCCGTTGAAACAAACCGAATTTCTTTATCCAAAAAAAAATAGCTGAATAATGACAAACCTATTGAAACTAATTCACCGTCTCAAAAATTCATGTAAAACGTAGCCAACAGACAGTTGGAAAAAAATCAATAAATGCAAATAAAACCTGAAAAAAACTGACATAAATTTCACCTTTTGAAATGTAAAAAAATAGATGGATTTGAACTGTTTGAATTACTAGAGCAATTTATGATTGACGTTTTTTTGTATAAATTTAACCCAATTTGAGAAAACTGGACTATTCGGGAACTTTTATATTTCGGTGGGAAATCGGATAATTAAAACTCATTTTCGAAATTGGAAGTCGATTACCAATTTCGTGACCTTTTTCACTTTTGCTGTTCGATAAGAAATTTGATGGCCTTGTAACAAAAGAAGTGAACTGAACTGAGAAACAATCAAACGTCAAACTGCGAAAAAGCAAACTTGAGCCTAAACAAATTTTAAGACTTTTCCTCAAAAAAACATTCATAACGACCAATACAAAAGTCTGAACATCGTTCATCGACTTTTAATCAGGTCTTGATTTCAACTCAAAATATAGTCTTTGCCTAGATAATTCAAAAACTTAAAAATTATGGAAACTAAGCCGTACCTTGGTTGACTTGACTAGCGTGTGTAGATGGTCGATCTCGAATCGGTCTTGCTCTATTTTACTCTCCAAAGCCTAGAAGAAAAATAACAGGCTTCAGTTGATCATACACAAACTTAAGATTTTTTAGAAGAATTCGAAAACAAATGATCTTTGTACAGAGAACAACAAATGGCGTTACTGTGGGGCACATAAAATTATTTTTGTTCTCACTTTTTTCTAGGTTGCTCACCCAACAACTACATTACTGAGAGCCCTTGGTAACGGGTATGGAAAAAATATGCTATTATCTAGTACTTCAATCATTCCAAAAACAAACTCAAATATAAAAAAAAAACATTTTTTTCACTAAATCCATAATAGCGTTACATCAGATGATATGCACGCAATATTTATCAAAAAACTGGTTTCCAAAAAGCTTAATTTAGTATGATTGACTTACTCTAATCTGGACAGCCATTCTGTTGCAGTCTGCTTCCTTTTGTCTCAACTGTTTCTGAAGATGACCTTTTGTCTGCTCCAGTGACTTCTGATGTGTGAACAAAGTGTCTGCCTCAGTCTGAAACGGTGTAGCATAACCTTGAAAATCAATCGAAACTGTTTAGTTTAAAATTAGAGCACGATACGAACATGTATACAATGGAAAACGAAATCGATACAGTAATGAACACATAACATCTAACCTAGGCAAGCCTAGCCTATATTACCTGTTCAAGCGGCTTGAAAACAGAAAATTTAGTGTACTGTCTAGAACTTGACGAATTACAATGTCTTAATTTTGTTACACAGAGGCGAAGCTGCGCATCGCAAACACAAGCAAGGAAAATTCAAAAAAAGCTATAAACAGGCAAAACAAAGCAAAGGAAAAGATTTAAAACACACCTTGAAGAAAAATGTGGAGATTAGGAGTATCACATTCTCACATCTACTCCGCGACCACTTGTAATTTTACGAACACTAGCCACAAATAAAACATCTACAGTTTCTATCAAATTGGCTATGTTATGCAGCAAAAATTCGGCCAAAAAAAACTATTATAGTGTTCCGGATTTCAAAATCCGGCCTGCTGATAAGGAGTCTCACGACCTCGCATCTACGCCACGGTTGCTTGGAAAAAAAACTAAAGGCCCCGCTAATGCTGGATCTATATGTTCTAATGTTTGAATCATTGTAGTGATACGGAAATGCGTAATTTTCAAAAAATGAATTTTACGCTAAACCCTAAGGTTTCGCTGCTTAAGTAGGGTATAAGACGCTTATTTAAAGGAGAAAGCTACTACTCACTCTTTAAATTGAAGTCTTGATCTCTGGAAGATGCGGCTGGGTATTTTTTGAGAAAAAGTGAAGACTCCAGAAATCGATCAAAAATTGGCTTTTCCTAAATCCATTAACTTTTTTCTACTGAAGCATAGGAAAAGCCTCCACACCTTATTTTAGATTGAAGATTTCAGCACCCTGATTTTTTAGATTGAACCCTTAATATCTGATTTAGCTAGTAGTTTTCGAGAATAAAGACAAAATTTCTCAAAAAACAACGGTAAAAAATTTTTAAAAAAAATAATTTTAACCGCATTTATGAAAAATAGGGTAAAACAGATTACGCATGGGCAATCTAAGCACTATGTTAATTTTGATTAAATATCAACCTCAGAATCAGCATGTTAGTTTCCGGAAAGAAAGAATAACTTTCCAAAAAACGGGCAAAAATCAAAAATGGGATAATTTCTAAGGCCATATTTTTTCGAAACGCAGGGCATAGCCAGGTAAGATTTGCATAACTACATTTTTTTTGTTTAAACCTTTAATCTCCGATTTAGCACAGTAGTTTTTGAGAAAAATCAAAAAGTTTTGAAAAATAATCAAAGATGTCAAAAAATGGGCTTGTTTGAGGTCATTTTTTTTCTGCCATTTATAGGGAGTAGCCGCTTGAGAAAAAAAGATACCGATAACTTGTTCTTTTGATTGAAACCTTTATCTCAGATTGTGCATTAAATATTCGAGAAAATGAAAAATTCTAAGCAATAGGCCAAAAATCTCCCAAGCTTTCGAAGACCGTAGAACGTGAGGTAAAATGAAAATAGACTAGCAGCCAGTTTTTCCATCGAAACCATTTTTTTAATGGAATGTGTTTTTGAGAAAAATTGAAATTTCAGCGAAAAGTGCTAACATTTTCCAAAGCGTCACAAGAAAACGAAAACATCAAATCGCATACATTTTCATAATGGACTTGTTTTTTCAAACAGGACCTGAAACTAGCCAAAAATAAAGCAGCAAAAAATGCCATTAAATTGTTTCGCTTAAATAAGCTTAAATATGATTAAAACGAAATATTCCAAAAGTGCCACCAAATGAGCACTTTTATTTGCCATTTCGCTAAGAAAAAAAACGTATTGATACACTACACTTCGCTTGTGTAAATACACTAAAGCAACTAAAATTAAACATAAAAACTAAACATTCGAGTCAACTGGATCGATAGGGTTTTTCACGTCATTTGCACTTCTGTTAATATATAGCAAAAGTTGACATCCATTTATCAAATGAATTGGATAGCGAATTTTAAAAAAGCGATCTTCCTGGAAAAAATCACATAACTTAAATAAATGAAAACTCACTTACCCATTTACACATAACTATACATGATAAATCAGGTCTTTCTGTGTAGTTAGTTTACAAAAGCTTTGAAATTTGCTCAAATAGGTTTTTTGTAGTTGTAGCAAATTCAGCTATTCATTGGAAGGGTGAACTTAAGCTCAAACAATTCATCGCTCAACTAAAGCTACTTTGTCCCTTAACTTGTGTGCAATGACGCTGCTTTTCGTCGGGTGATATATGACACAAAATTTGAAAAACCACTTTTTCCAAACTCGTTTTCTTGGCTCTCAATTAGTTTCTTACGCTAAGGTTCTGTGAAAAACGTCGTAAAACACCGAATAGGTATCTTTAACATTTTGTGGTACCTTGGCGTTCTCGTATTGTCCCCTGAGAGCGGCGACCACCGCGTCCTTGTCACTCAGTTCCTCCCTGAGAAGATTCAGTTTGGAGTCACTCTTACCCAGTCTCTCTAAGAGAAGGTCCCGCTGCTCACCCAACTTCTCAGCCTCCATCTACAACATAAACATAGCCAATAGACAGTTGGAAAAGAGGAATGAACGCAAAAAGAGTCAAGTAAACAAAGAATACTGACTTGTTTTTTGAAAATATTTACTTTCGAAATTTCAAGCAAGAATATATGCCTTTTCAGATCTTTAAATTTCACGAACAAAAACTCATGGCTGGTTCTTGTTTTATTAAAATTAACCCAATTTGAGAAAACTGTCAATAAGTAAAAATTAAAATTCGTTAGGAAATCTGATAATTAATTAGAAGTCGATCACTTTTTTCGAGAACTTAACACTTTTGCTGTTCGATAGTGGAGTTTTTTCCTTTTAACAAAAGAGATGAAGTGAACTTAAAAATAAATCAAAGTCAAAACGCGAAAAAAAAAATTGAACCTGAACATATTTTAAGACAATTCCTGGCAAAAACGAACAAAAAAAATCATCACGACCTATTATAGACAATTTACTATTTCTCAACCGTTACTAATAGCCGCGTGTTAAGATTAGTCGCTCAAACAAAATATTAGCAATCTTACATCCTTTGTTTGAAAGAAGGCACTAAATTTATTAAATCTAACCTAAAAAAAACTAGAGTAGCCTTCAAAAAACTTGACACAAACAACAAAAATAGCGTTGTCTTCAAAAAAAAATGCTTAAGCTGAGCCTAGAAGGCAGAGCAACGTTTTATACGAGAGAAGTCAGTTCCATATATCACGAACCAACAAATCTTCCTCCTCTCCCTCCCCAACTTGTTGAGTTTTACGTGGAAGCTTTTGTTGACCCCCATGTTTGAAGTCCCATGAAACAAGAGTAAGCGGCTACTGTGCAACTAGCAGAAATACTGACCACATCGAAATAAAACTAGAAAAACCTTTTTTTTCAAAACTGCAGTTTTTTTGCGTTAAAGTTTGCTCTTCATTTTGGAGTTTGTCTTCCTTTTAAAAAATAAAATAAAGTAAAACTAAAAATAAATCAAAAATCGAACCGAGAAAAAGTGTTTCTGGCCTGAAAAACAAAAAAAAACATTCGCGATCTACATAAGAATCTGAACTACGTTCTTCGACTCTTAAAAACAAACGCAATAACCATACACCCATCCAAACAAATTTTCCTGGCCATAAAAACATGTCAAAAACTTAAAACTGGTTCAAATATTTAAAACAAAATTCTGATTGACTTCAAGAGGCGTTTAACTCGCACGCTCATCATCTCAAAGACAAAACGCACCACAGCATGATTTTCACAATTCATTTCTTTTACCATCTGTCTTTAACATTCACGCAATTTAAATTTTTCTATCTTCATTTTAATCCGAACAATCTTGTATTTGTTTCATTGTGTAAAGAGTCTGCACTTATTCATAACGTGTATAAATAAAAGTAAGTACTTCTTATGCGTGCGGTATGCTAAACAGAAACAGCAAATTTTTCAAAGCAAATTAAAGTCATGTGACGTTTTTATACTTAAAAGTTGGCTCGTCAAAAGTTCATGGCCATAAAATGGATTCGTATCACTCAATTTTTTTTTTACATCTGTGGAATACAAAAACTTCATAATTTTTTAATCCGCGCACACTAAATCTTGAGCAACAAAATTTCCGTGTTTTCTTCGAAAGTCGCACTAAAATATATCTACGGCCTTGTTAAACTTAGTTCAGTCGCGTTTGAAGCTCAGTGTTTTGGACTAAAATAACATCAAATTGATGTCAGGTACTGTAAGCCATTTAAGCTGATATTGCCCGAGATTAAATTCTCAGCCCTTAAAACTAATTCGTATTTCCAACTTCCCTCCGCAAAAAAAAACGTTACAAGAAATCAAAAACAACTATTTATTTTCGAGCAAATAAAACGGAGGTCAAAAAGTTCTGCGGTCTACTTTTTCGCATTAATAACTACTGTTTACAATTTAATTTAAAACTATTTAATTTAACTTACAGCTCTCCTGGCATGTTCTCTCAGAATGTGCCGTAAGGCTTTGTTGGATGACTCAAAAGCCTGCAGTTTGTCCAAGAGGAGGGACCTCTGTTTGTTCAACAGTGCTATGTCCGTCGATGACATTCTTTTATCCTGCAAATGGAGGGAAAATATAAATCCGATTAGTCCACAATAAGCAAAACAAAAAGGTGATTATGATTTCAAACTGGTCGCCAAATCAAAACAAAAACCATCCGCCTGTGATAAAATGGTGCTATTTTTCTCTGGAATGAAGCTTGAATTGAACAAACAGGATCCAAATAACCGTGGTTATCTTCAAAAATCCATCTCAGCTTAATTATACTTCTGATGACTTATGAAATTCTAAAACCTCAGAAATAGGAATGAACTTACATATTCTGAAACAAAACAACATCAGAAAACTTTTTATATACATAGTTGAAAGATTCAGATTCAGCCAGAAATTCTCATTTTAGGAACAACTCATCAAGACAAAAATGACAGACGCCAACCTGCACTTCGCATACACAATTTAAACCTATTGCTAGCATATCGTTGAAAAATTGTGGTGAAAAACAAAAAACTAACATACTCCAAAATCGAGATTCGAAAATAGGCAGATTTTTTATGGTCAATTGTTGCATCAATTGCACAACAGAAGAGTCTATGAGATTTAATTTGACGCCACCATCAATTTTGTTTTACCAATAATAAAAACAACTTGCCTCTTTTAGTCTCTGTAGTGTGTCCCGCAAAGCATCTATCTGTTTTGAGGCTTCAGCCCCTTCAACTTCTACGTCTAACAACTTCCTCGACAGTATCTGTCTTTCAGTTTCAAGAAGCTCTTTTTCAGTTCTAAAAATAAGTTTAGCATCAAGCAGATTGAGGATGTGACATTTTTTGAGCAAACAATGAAGCAATACAGCAGGAATTTAACCTTTATCTTCGGCTTTTTAAAACAGACTAGCGTGTATATCAAAAAAAGCGCTTATATTGGAAACAAGAAGTGCATCCTTTGAGTTGAGTTTACTCTAATAGTACCCAATTACAGGGTTGGTAATTTGAAATTTTGTAAAAAAAAAAATTTTCATTCAAATTTTGATAACCACAAAATTTTGAAGTTTTTATATCTAATTTCTTTAAAATTTTTTTAAAATAAATAAAAAAACGTTACATCTCGGAAACTAAAAGTAACTAAGCAGTCGCATTTGGAAGCAAATTTTGCAGCTCTTGACAGTAATCTCACATTACCTAACTAAAGCGTTGAAAAAAATCACAAAAGACGTTATATCTCAAAATCCACAAAGATTTGAGCAGTAAAATTTGAATCAAGATTTGCAACCCTTAAGAGTTTGCAACTCTGACAGCACCCAACTACAGGGCTAGGAATTTCAAATTTGGAAAAAATTTCAAACTTAAATGTACCGAAAAACTTCTGAAACAATGACCAAAAAAAATTAGTGAACAAATAAAATCCATGCTTTACAAAGAATAACGATAAAAACTAGAGTAAAATAACATACAAGATATATTTTTTTAAAAAAACGTTAAATGAACCGACAGAAACTAGGCCGAAAAAACACGAATCCGAAAAAAACTTCAACATTTTTTCAAATTTATAATTTACCTTTTTTCAATTTTTTTGAAAAAATTATTACTGCCCGAAACGTACTCCACCTATTAGGTCCTAGATGAAGTAGTTTTATTTGAATTTTGAAGAAATTGAGCATGTCTTGAAATTTACCATTCCTACAACATTCACTACTCTGTTAACAAAGTTATTTACGGGAAAAAAGTCAAGTACCCGATTGCAATACCTTTTTTTGCCATTTGCACCCTCGTAATTGGAGAGCTAAATTTACCTCCTTTCAGCATATGAATTTGAATTACTATATTACTAACTCATTTCAAAAGTAATAGCGTTTAACGCACCTCCAGTGCTTCGAAATTTAGACAGCTCATGAAAAACCTCATATATTGGAAACCAGATATGCAGGCTTTTAGTGTACTCTAACAGCACCATATTACAGGGTTGGTAATTTCATATTTTATAATTTTTTACTTCCTATTTTCCGCCATATCTCGAGAATGTCAAACCTCGAAAAGTTCAAGTATTCGAGCAGTCATATTTGGAGACAAGACTCGCAATCCCTATGACAGACATCACCCAACTACAGGGTTAGGAATTTCAAATTTTGAAAAAAAAATCGAAGCTGAGTTTTCTGAAAAACTCACAAAAAACGTCAAATTGGAAAACTACAAAAATTTGAGCAGTCATATTTGAAGACAAGATTCCCAACCCCTGAGAGTACTCTGACAACCCCAACTACAGGGTGGGGAACTTTGAAAATTGGGAAAAAGTTTTTAAATATATAAATATAAGTTTTCTGAAAAATTTGTTGAAAAAATCATAGAGCCTCACTATACAGATGGGAACTTCAAACTTTGTGCTATTTTTCATACCTATATTCTTTGAACATGTTTTAAGAAAATGACCTACAAAACGCCACAGCTCGGAAACTAAGAGTATTTCAGAGTCGCGTTTGAACGCAAAAATTGCAGCTTAGAATCCCTGAGATTACCCTCAAGAACCCAACTACAAGGTTGGGAATTTCAAATATTTTGAGTTTTTAAGGTATAAGTTTTCTGAAAAATAATAATATAACACGTCATATCTCGAAAACTACAAAAGATTGAGCAGCCATATTTGGAAGCAAGAATCGCAACCCTTGAGAGTACTCTGACAGCACCCAACTACAGGGTTGGTGATTTCAAATTTTGTGAAATACTTTCAGCCTGAAGTGTTCAGAAAAATTTCTGAGAAATCACAAAAATTGTCTCATCTCGTAAATTGAAAGGTTTTGAGCATTCCTAATTGGGTTGCTTATTTTAATCTCGGTAACACAAACACTTAATTCAAAATAGAAAATCTTAACCATTGCAATATACGATATAGCTTTATGGTGAAAAAATTCTTTGGTTAAACATGCGAAAGTAATAAGTTCAAAAAGCTTAAAAGTGGCGAGATAGTGAATCCCGCATTTAATTATATAACAGATTATGAAATTTTCCATCAAAAATCAGGTTACATCAAAGAAGAAAACTCATTTCTTATCGTAACAATTAACAATTACTACTTCAAAAACAACATATTACACAGAGGCAAAGCTGTGCTTCGCAAACTGCTGCGAGAACACAACCAAAAAGCAGCTCGATCAAGTGAAAAAAAAAGTAAAAATAAGCCTCGAATTAGGAAAAACACGGCTACGTGTAAGATTTGAATCTGCGTATTACTGCAATCAAGAGATTTTGAGTCTCACGAACTATCCATTCAGCCACACAAGCTTAACAATCGACAAACACTAGTCACGAATAAAGCAGCTATATATGCTAATAAATTGCCAAATTTACACTTTACCCAAAACCTTAGTTCTGCAATACGTATAAAATAAATTGAGAAGAGTGAGAGAAGTTTTTGAGAAATTACAATCTTCCCAAATACTTAAAATATTTCTTTCAAAAAATAGGGAGTCACCACTTCTTTAGAAAAAATTCTCATAACTGGTTGTTTCGACTGAACTCTTTCACCTCGGATATAAAAGGATAGTTTCTAGGAACATCCAAAAGTTTCTAAAGCGGTCAAGTTATACACCTTGACTTTCCGATCCAAAAAATTTTTCTGCAATAAGAATAGCGTGGCCGTTAAAGCAGAAAAGATTCCAAAAACCTGGTTTCTCGCTGGAACCCGAACACAACCTAAGAATTGGAAGTCTGATTTTCGAGAAAAGTCAAAAAACATCCAAAAACGGTCAATAAATCACAATTTGAATTTTCCTCGAATCACACTCTTTTGTGCAATCATATTAGGGTGTACCCGATAACGCAAAAGAAATTAAACGCAAAAAAAATGAGATTTGGAAGGGTAGTTTTCAAGAAAACAAGTAGTTTCAAAAAACAGTACAAAAACAAATTATTGACTTTTCCGAGGGCCAAAACCTTTAAGTAAAGAAAAGGACGTGGTAGATTATAACAAAAAGCAGCTTTCCACAACCCGTAGTTTCGATTGAGTCCAGTAGCTCAGACTTAGGAGGATAAATTTCAAAAAAAGACGAAACAAAAATCAAAAAACGGTCAAAAAATTTTAAAAAATTGTCTTTTCCGGCGGGCATAACTTTTTGCATAAAAAATTGGGCGTAACCACACACAGAGAAGAGCTCCCCACAAACCTTTCTTTGAATTAAACCCAAAATCCTAGATTTGGGCAGGTAGTTGTTGAGAAAAGTCATTGAAAAAGTCGAAAAAAAAGGTTAAAAAAATCAATTAATTGACTATTCCGAGAGCCAAAACTTTTCGTGTAGAAACAAACGGACGTAGCCGCTTATGCAGCGGAGCTTCTCATAACTCGTTCCATCCATTGGACCTGGAATATCAGATTTCTAGAGTGGGATTTTATAGTCTATAAATACGGATCAAATATCGCCCCCATAGACTTTTTCGAAGGCTGTAGACAGCAGGGTAAAGATAAAAGAGACTAGAAGTTTATGCACGCACACAATGGAGTAGGTTGTCTTTCCATTGATAAGCTTTTTGAAATTGGGTAGAAAAGTTACCGAACTAAAAAAACTCGCACAAAAACCCGGGAAAAAATTCGAAAGCGTCTCAAAAAAGTAAAATCAAAAACCCAATCCCGTACATTTTCATGATAATTGATTTTATCAAACAGGAGTATTTTTGGCCGGAAAAAGTACACAAAATAATTTGAATAAACCGATACCTCATTACACTAAACCATTTAGTCGAAAAAAAAATATTGAAAAACTCAAAATCAGACTTGACAAAATGACAAACTACAGAACATTCAATTGTAGTAAAAAAAATTAGTGAACAAATAAAATACATGCTTTACAAAAAATAACGATAAAAACTAGAGTAAAATAACATACAACATATTTTTTTTAAAAAAACGTTAAATGAACCGACAGAAACTAGGCCGAAAAACACGAATCCGAAAAAAACTTCAACATTTTTTCAAATTTATAATTTACCTTTTTCCAATTTTTTTGAAAAAATTATTACTGCCCGAAACGTACTCCACCTATTAAGTCCTAGATGAAGTAGTTTTATTTGAATTTTGAAGAAATTGAGCATGTCTTGAAAATTACCATTCCTACAACATTCACTAATCTGTTAACAAAGTTATTTACGGGAAAAAAGTCAAGTACCCGATTGCAATACCTTTTTTTGCCATTAGCACCCTCGTAATTGGAGAGCTAAATTTACCTCCTTTCGGCATATGAATTTGAATTACTATATTACTCACTCATTTCAAAAGTTTTAGCGTTTAACGCACCTCCAGTGCTTCGAATTTTAGGCAGCTCAGGAAAAACCTCATATGTTGGAAACCAGATATGCAGGCTTTTAGTGTACTCTAACAGCACCCAATTACAGGATTGGTAATTTCATTATTTATAATTTTTTACTTCCTATTTTCCGTCATATCTCGAGAATGTAAAACCTCGAAAAGTACAAGTATTTGAGCAGTCATATTTGAAGACAAGACTCGCAACCCCTATGACAGATATCACCCAACTACAGGGTTAGGAATTTGAAATTTTGAAGAAAAAAAAATTCGAAGCTGAGTTTTCTGAAAAACTCACAAAAAACGTCATTTTGGAAAACTACAAAGATTTGAGCAGTCATAATTGGAGGCAAGAGCCGCAACCCTTGAGAGTACTCTGATAGCTCCCAACTACAGGATTGGGAAGTTCAAACTTTGAAGAAAAATTTCGTTTAAGTTTTCTGAAATTTTTTTAAAATCACAAAAACTGTCAATCTGAAAAACTACGAAGATTTGAGCAGTCATAATTGGAGGCAAGAACCGCAACCCTTGAGAGTACTCTGATAGCCCCCAACTACAGGGTTTCGTTTAAGTTTTCTGAAATTTTTTTCTTAAATCACAAAAAATGTCATATCTCGAAAACTACAAGGATTTGAGCTTTCATAATTAGAGACAGTTTCGCAACCCTTGAGAGTACTCTGACAGGACCTAACTACAGGGTTGGGAATTTCAGATTTTTAGAGAACAATAATAATTTAGGTTTTCTGAAATTTTTGAAAAAATCACAAAAAAACGTCATTTCTCGAAAACTACAAAGGATTGAGCAGTCATACTTGGATGCAAGATTCGCAATTTTTGAGAGTACTCTGAAAGGACCTAACTACAGGGTTTGGAATTTCAAATTTTTAAAAACTAACAATAATTTAAGTTTTCTGAACATTTTTGAAAAATCACAAAAAACGTCATATTTTGAAAACTACAAAGACATGAGCAGTCATATTTGGAGGCAAGATTCGCAATTTTTGAGATTACTCTGACAGGACCCAACTACAGGTTTGGGAATTTCAGATTTTGTTTAAATTAATATAAATTTTCCGAAAATTTTTTGAGAAAATTACAAAAAACGTCATATCTCGAAAACTACAAGGATTTGAGCACTCATAATTAGAGACAGTTTCGCAATCCTTGAGAGTACTCTGACAGGACCTAACTACAGGGTTGGGAATTTCAGATTTTTAGAGAACAGTAAAAATTTAGGTTTTCTGAAATTTTTGAAAAAATCACAAAAAAACGTCATTTCTCGAAAACTACAAAGGATTGAGCAGTCATACTTGTATGCAAGATTCGCAATTTTTGAGAGTACTCTGAAAGGACCTAATTACAGGGTTTGGATTTTCAAATTTTTAAAAACTAACAATATTTTAAGTTTTCTGAACATTTTTGAAAAATCACAAAAAACGTCATATTTCGAAAACTACAAAGACATGAGCAGTCATATTTGGAGGCAAGATTCGCAATTTTTGAGATTACTCTGACAGGACCCAACTAGAGGGTTGGGAATTTCAGATTTTGTTTAAATTAATATAAATTTTCCGAAAATTTTTTGAGAAAATTACAAAAAACGTCATACCTCGAAAACTACAAGGATTTGAACAGTCATATTTAGAGGCAAGATTTGTAACTCCTTAGAGTCTTCTGACAACACCCAACTACAGTGTTGGGAATTTCAGGTTTTGTTTGAAATAATTAATATTATTTTGCCGAAAATTTTTTGAGAAAATCACAAAAAGCGTCATATCTCGAAAACTACAAGGATTTGAACAGTCATATTTGGAGGCAAGATTTGTAACTCCTTAGAGTACTCTGACAGCATCCAACTACAGGTTTGGGAACTTGAAGTATTTTAAACTACTGTTATTTGAAATTGTTGAAAACTTTTGAAAAATCCTCAAAAATTGTCTTATCTCCTTAACTAAAATGATTCGATTATTCAAAATTGGAGACCAAACTCGCAACCCCGAATTCGATATTGGGCTGCTTAATCAAAACTCGGTAAAAAAACCACTAAAATCAAATTGGAAAATCGAAAAAAAAAATTTAACCATTGCAATATACGATATAGCTTAAACATGCAAAGATAATACGTTGAAAAAGCTTAAGCATGGCGAGATAGTGAAGCCCGCATTTAAATATATCAAAGACTAGCGTTTAACGCACCTTCGGTGCTTCGAAATTTTTCGACAACTCATGAAAAACCGCATATATTCGAAACAACATCTGCAAACTTTTAGTGTACTCTGACTGGATCCAATTACAGGGTTGGTAATTTCGAACTTTTAATTTTTTTTTAATTCCCATTTTAAAAGCGTCATCTCGAAAACTTAATGGGAGAAATTTGGAGGCCAGATTTGCAACCACTGAGAGTCCCTGAGAGCACTTTACTATAGGGTTGGGAATCCAAAATTTTGTGAATTTTTTTAAACCTAAGTTTCCAGAAAAAAATTAACTCATCTCGGAAACTAAAAAGCTTTGAGAATTCATAATAAGCGGCAAGATTTGAAATGCCTGGGTGTACGCTGACAAAAAGGTTGTATCTTCATCAAGTTAGTAGTTTCAAAGAATTTGAATTTCTTTGTAGATAAGTTCTTTCAGAAATTTTGAAAAAATCAAAAAATGTCAAATCTCGGAAACTTAAAGCATTTCAGCAGTCGTGTTTAGCAGTCGCATGTGGCAAGATTTGCAATTCTTTAGAGTACCCTGACAACACCGAACTATAGCGTTGGGACATTCAAATTATGAAAAATAATTAACTTAAACTTTCAGAAAATTTTTAAAAAATCACAAAAGTCACATCTCGAAAACTAGAGAGAATTGAGCAGTCATGCTTGTAGGCAAGATTCGCAATCTTTGAGATTACTCTGACAGGACCCAACTACATTTTGCGAAAAAAAAACAATATAAGTTTTCTGAAATTTTTCTTAAAAAATCACGAAAAAGTCATATCTCGAAAATTACAATGATTTGAACAGTCATATTTGGAGGCAAGATTTTTAACTCCTTAGAGTACTTTGACAGCGCCCAGCCACAAAGTTGGGAATTTCAAATTTTGAGAAATAATTTATTAAAATTTTTCTGAAAATTTTGAAAAAAATCATATCTCGAAAACTACAAAGATTTAAGCAGTCATATTTCGAGGAAAGATTCGGGATCCTTGATAGTACTCTGACAGTACCCAACTACAGGGTTGGGAATTTCAGATTTTAAAAAAATAATAATCATAATTTAAGTTTTCTGAAAATTTTTGAAAAAATCACAAAAAACGTCATATCTAGAAAGTTACAAAGAATTGAGCAGTCATACTTGGAGGCAACATTCGCAATCTTTGAAAAAACTCTGACAGGACCCAACTACAGGGTTGGGAATTTCAGATTTTGTTTGAAAAAATTAATATAATTTTTCCGAAAATTTTTTGAGAAAATCACAAAAAACGTCATATCTCGAAAACTACAAGGATTTGAACAGTCATATTTGGAGGAAAGATTTGTAACTCCTTAGAGTTCTCTGACAGCACCCAAATAGAGGGTTGGGAGCTTCAAGTTTTGTAAACTATTTTCTTATTTGAAATTTCTGAAAATTTTCGAAAAAAAAAACTCAAAAATCGTCTTATCCCGTTAACTAAAATGATTCGGGCATTCAAAATTGTAGGTCAAATTTGCAACCCCTAATTCGATTTTGGGCCGCTTAATTTAAACTCGGTAAAATAACCACTAAAATCAAATTGGAAAATCGAAAAAAAAATTCTAAACCATTGCAATATACGATATAGCTTAAACATGCAAAGATAATACGTTGAAAAAGCTTAAACATGGCGAGATAGTGAAGCCCGCATTTAAATACACAATAATATATAGATAGATATACACCAACATCTTAAAGGTGATTTAATTTGGATTCTCATAAAATTGAAAATGTCAGCACGTCCTCCAATGAATGGCCAAAGTGGCGTTAAGGCGCAAGACAAGTTTTTTTGGTTAAAAAAAATCTGGTCCCTGACTTATTTAAATTTGCTCTCGCAAGTGTAAAAATACATCCATACCAGACATAATACGCTAAAAGTTAGCTCGCTAAAAGTTAGCGGTAGCTCGCTAAAAGTTACAAATTCAAGGGCCAAGCTGTAACAGTCGTTCACTTTCGTCACTTTTGAGGTCAAGAATGATTTATCATCTCATGCTTTTCTAACTCAATCGACAGGAGCCAATTCATGGATCACTTAGACCCGGAACTTTCGGATCGCAACTATTTTAAGGCCACTGCCAAAAAACCCCACCCCCACACTAGAAAAAAAAAGAACATCCCGTTGGCTAGGTCTCTAAATACGAGCGCCATTACATACATGCGAGCGCCATTAACATCAGCACTGGTTACATAGTTGTTACTTTTTATTAGACAGTGTGTGTTTGATCCATTTCAAATGGATCAACCTAAAACTCACCTTATCTCAACATAATCAGATAAAACGGTCTCCAGTAATTCATCGAATACGTTAAAACTAATTCTTTGTAAAATAAACCAACCTTTTTGCCGCACATTTTGAATTTATCTTCAGGTCTTAAAGGTGATTTAATTTGGATTCTCATGAAATTGAAAATGTCAGCACGTCCTCCAATGAATGGCCAAAGTGGCGTTAAGGCGCAAGACAAGTTTTTTTGGTAAAAATCTGGTCCCTGACTTCATTAAATTTGCTCTCGCAAGTGTAAAAATACATCCATACCAGACATAATACACCTAAACCTCGCAAAATTAAAAACCATACTTACTTGGACATTCTAGTTTCGTCTTTCAGAAATTCAACTGATCTTCTAAGGGTGTCATTAACTTGCTCCGTCATGTCCAAGTCTGTTTTGGTCCGAATTAATTCGTCTTCCTGGTAGTCAAGGCGCTCGCGCGAACGGGCAAGCTCCACGCTTTTGGCTCGAAGCTGAGCACGAGCATTCTCCAGATCAGCCTGAAATCCGAAGTATTCATAAGCATTCAATAGAGGAATGGTCGAAAGAAGAGGAGAAAAAGATAGAGATTCTTACACAGGCGTAGCTTTCGGGATAACTTCCCAAAAATCTGTCACTAATAGGGTGCTCGATTGCCTGCTATAAACATTAACTTCTGCATGAACATTGTCCTATTTCAAAAGAGAAAGATAAGAATGGGAAAGATAGAATAGTATCAATAACCTGTTCTGGCAAATGCCTGACAGCACAAACCGTCTCAACTTTCACTGGCTCCTAATACACCCGTTGAAACTGTTTATTGCCTATGTTATCGAAAGCGATACTATTTTGAATTCTCACTTTAAAAAAATAGTCGTAAAACCGAAAATAGTATACAGAGAACATCATACCTGGAACAACATGTTGCTAGCCTTGAGTGACTTAGCAGGAGGCTTAATCATGCCTTTCGACCCAGACTTCTTAGGAACTTTTTCTGGTTTAACGGGCATTCTGATCTATAAAAAAAACTGAAGTCACGAACACACAGCCTCGTTCATCTTAACTTCACACAGCATAAGGTCCTTAATACGAAGTATAAAAACGATATGTCTAGGAAACCTTATCAAAAAACTTCGTTAGTAATAAAAATTAAGGCGGACTGAAAATCGAGTTTAGGAAAAAAATCGAGTTTAGGAAAAATCAGAAGGCTGAAAATGAAAAGATCATTGCAAACTTGCTATCAGCAATCGTCTTTTATTATTTCGTCCAATTTAGAAATATTTCAATAACATAAATCTGGTGAACATTATCAGAAAGTAAGCAAGAGCAGGTAGCTCGCTAAAAGTTACAAATTCAAGGGCCAAGCTGTAACAGTCGTTCACTTTCGTCACTTTTGAGGTCAAGAATGATTTATCATCTCATGCTTTTCTAACTCAATCGAGAGGAGCCAATTCATGGATCACTTAGACCCGGAACTTTCGGATCGCTACGATTTTAAGGCCACTACCAAAAAACCCCACCCCCACACTAGAAAAAAAAGAACATCCCGTTGGCTAGGTCTCTAAATACGAGCGCCAATACATACATGCGAGCGCCATTAACATCAGCACTGGTTACATAGTTGTTACTTTTTATTAGACAGTGTGTGCTTGATCCATTTCAAATGGATCAACCTAAAACTCACCTTATCTCAACATAATCAGATAAAACGGTCTCCAGTAATTCATCGAATACGTTAAAACTAATTCTTTGTAAAATAAACCAACCTTTTTGCCGCACATTTTGAATTTATCTTCAGGTTTAAAAATCTAACTCATGTGTATAGAATTATCAAAAATCATTAAAAAAGTCAAACACAAAAACTTGAAAAAATGATTAATCAACTAATGGTCAAAATGCCCGGCCGTTTCGCCGACATAGATGAATTTTCATCCACTGCATTCTTATTTGAATAATTTTTTTTGATTTCAGTTCACTCGAAGAAATGACTTCAACGATGGCAAACATGTTGGTAATTTCAGCGTTGTAAACACTATTTGCGCAGCGGTGACATCCCGCACTTTCTTTGCAAATTTCTGAGTGTGATTACCGCTACATTGAAAAATCAGCATGAAGTGGTACGTCCTTACTAGGCACGAGACGCAACATTTGACGACCAATTTTCTGGTCTTCGACCACTGGTTGTTCACGGTTAACTTTCCTTCTCAACGCCTTCCCATGTAGACAAACTTCTAAGACACGGTGAACAGTTCCTTCAATTAAACGCTTTTTATACTGGAGGGGTGCAAATTCCTAATGTTAAGGGTGGTACTTGTATCTGTTGCTTTTAAATATCATCTACAGCTCAATCGTTTCTCCTATCAAGATAAAGTTCCAGATGTAAAAACGTAAAAAAATTCTCGATGTATTTGGTGTTTCAATAGTGGACTGGGATTAAGATTGAAGATTTCCTCGTTTTGGCTCCTTTGTAAGGAGCCAAAACGAAGATTTCCTCGTTTTGGCTCTTTATTTTATCGGGGTCTCGGGTCCCCATACAACGTGATTAGGACTAAAAACAGGGCTGAAAACAATTACTATAGTTAGTTTTAGTGAAAGTATACATCAGATCCTTTAGAGATAGATTGACCTTTTCCTCGCCATCGACTACTCATACTCTGAAATCAACTCTGTCCGTCTGGAATTGAAATCAAGTGATCAGAGCCTTCTTTAGCTAGAAGGCTTGAAAGTTAACAATAAGTTGATGCACCGGGACCGTGATTCGACAGTTCTTTGGTTAAAAAATGGTCTCAAATTGAACATTTAAAATTCAAAGGCCCAAAATAAATGCTAAATGTGCTAGAAAGTGTCAAGAAAAAAATGAGGTAAAAGGATAAACAACGGCTGTCACATAAACGGAAGCTACAAAGACCTTCTTGCGACCGAGATTCTGACCATTTCGTTATACTCATACTTACAGTTACAAGATCTTTTACTAATGCACATGTATAAAAATGGCTCATACGATGTCGATTGCAGCAATCATGTAAATTTGAAAGACCCAAAGCGTGATTTGAGATCAGATAATGATACCATTTTCAAATGCGAGCATAACTTCTTTTTCAGAGCAGGTGCGCTTGTCAACAGATTACCAAGGAGTGTTAAATTCAGAGACGGAGCAGGGCTGAAAAAACAAATTCTTTATTGTTGTTGTTGTTGTTGTTGTTGGGGATTCACAGCACTGCTGTTGGGATTCTTGGTCCCGGCGTCTTCTCTAAAACAATGTCCACTTGTTTCTGCACGTGATACAATCGCAGAATAATTGCCACGTGCACGTTGTCATTTCTGAAAATCTCTCGTTTACAAATTTCCACATCGTGTTTAAAATTCTCGTCTTGAGGCCGATTCGTTTATCAAAATGAATATATGGTTCTAATCGTTTTACAATCCTACTGGTTCTGAAAACAAATTCGTTTCTCGCTTTTTCCGTTCTCACTTTTCGCATCTCAAAAATTTCTGTATTTCTAGCCCGTGTGGTTCGCCTGTTTAACACAATTTCATTTCGTTCATTAGAATCAAGACTGGCAAGAAGTAAGATGTTATTAAGCTGGATGAACATGGGCAGGGGTAAAATGTTTAGCAAGCGTAGTTCGTTGATGTACACTCCCGTTTTATTTCCAGTGATCCAACGGATTACTTTCTTTTGAAATCGCTCCAACTGCAATTGATCCCCCCTCGATATATGTGTACATGAGAGTCCGTATAATAACACTGGGAGTATTAGTGACTTATACAGGCCTAACTTTACAAACGTATTTATCTTTGCTGATAGGTTTCTTCTCAGGAGGTACAGTACTTGGTTTGCCTTCTTTAATCTTGTTTCAATGTGTACCTTCCACCTTAAATCGCCCGACACAAAAATTCCCAGATCTTTCACAACCATCGATGTTCCAAGCACTACACCAAAAAGCATAGAGTTAGCGTCTCCGCCCCTAAAACTTACTTTTGCACATTTATCTAGTGCTAATTCCATTTTGTTTTCAGTTACCCACTGCTGAATTTTGTCCAGATCTTCTTGAATTTCAATTGATGTTTTTTTTGATGGAATGTAGTTTAAGATCATCCGCAAAAATATATGGTTCAGAGAATTTGAGTACTTCAGGTAGGTCGTTAATAAAAATTCAAAAGAGCAGTGGTCCTAAAAGTGAAGAAATTTTTGCTAAAAAGTAAATTTCAAACGTTTTCGCAACTATGTGCATCGTCAGGATTTTTACAATAAACTACTCTAAATGACGATAAAACATCAATTTACAAATGTTATTTACAATAAATCACATACAATTTGGTTCTAAACCATCATGATAAAAAATTAGCCAATCACAGTTGACCTCTAAATTACTATTAAGATTAAAATACTTTTAACCTCTAAAATTAATTAAACATTTTAAAATAATTTGTCTGGAAGTTTCTGAGTCATAATTTCGATTTAGACATGTACGTTTTGAATAAAAAACCAAAAATATTTTGGGACTAAATTTTCAGTGTTAACTCCCTGCTCCTAAACTCATCGCGCGTGTTCAAGCCCGGTTTCTCTTTCCTGATGTGTATTGCCTCTAGTGTTAGCAATTTTGTTTGGTTGTTTGACCTATCTATAATTTCCCAACTAAGATCTGCGCTATTTCCCTCAAGTTGGCATTGCTGAAGGTGGAGGCCTACCGGTGAGTCTGCTTTCTTATGTTCCTCAATTCTAGTGGTCAAATGTCGAACAGTTTGTCCGACATAGGTGGAAGTGCATCCACTACATGACAGTTTATAAACCACTCTTGACTTGAGGTCATTAGAAAATGCTGACTTCAGTGATGGTAAACATGATTGTAGTTTTCTTGTGGTGAAAACCACTTGAACGTTCGTTAATTTTCGTAACCTGTTAGCAAAATATTGGCTCTGGTTACCTCTATATTGCACCATCAGCATTGGGGGCTTCTCATTCTTTGGTGATTGAACTGACAAACCCCTGTCACTATCCAGGGGCTTGCCTTTACCCTCGATGATTTTGCACAAGGCGTCTGAAGCCACCTTTGCGGACCAATTTTCAGGGTACTGATTTGTCAGCCATTGCGCCCTATTAGTTTCCATAGCCTTATCAAATTGCTCCCAGCTAGATGTACTCCTAAAAACCCTGTGTACAGTGCCTTGGATAACACTACGCTTATACTGAGTTGGGGCGCAGCTTCTATAGTTCAGTATAGTCCCTGTATCGGTTGGTTTTTGATACCAACTGCAAGTTACACGCCTATCCTGCGATACATTTATGTTCAAATCCAGGAACGGCAAATTCCCCTCCGAATTAGTTTTCTCTAGAGTGAACTGCAAATTTGGATGAAGAGAATTGGCGGCATCGAGAAGACAACTCGGCTCCCCTCTGACTGTTCTAACAATGTCATCCACATACCTGAGGAACAATTTCACCTGGGGAGTATCCTTCTCCTTGTTCTTAGCTCGGCAGCAGCTTTCACAGTACCAGACTATCTCGGTTATTGATGCGTATACGTCATCAGATATTTTTCCGCATTTTAGATGATACCAGTTTCGAGAACTCTCGCATTCAACCCCCTTTGATCTATATGTGACTTTCCTGCTGCAACATGGGCACAAGCCGTTTTTGTCATTAAATTGCTGTACCCCCGTTCCCACCGGTATCTGTTGTCGTAGAGCATATTCGTATTCTTTCAGCCATAAGTTTGCCAGAATTACAGCGAGGGACGCGCCCATTGCTAAACCATCAACTTGTACATACCATGAATCATTACACTTGAAATATACTTTGCTGACCGCCATATTCAAAAGCCTTTTCATGGTTGCTCTTTGAATTTCAGGAGGAGACTCCTGGCTGTACAGCTTCTGTAAAGCAATTTCAATTGCCTCCTTCAGGGGAACGTTGGTGTACAAACTTTTCACATCAAGAGATATTATGGTTTCATCCGGATCTAGAGCAATGTTTTCTATTTTTTCTCTAGCCTCTTTAGTATTGGTTTCTATATTTG